CATTCACTCACTTCACACACTCACCCAACCCCCGCATCCACGACGCGCCCAATCACGGCACATGCACACACGACCCCATGGCACACTCATCCACACCCACATCACGTCGCGACGTGCAAAGCTATCGCTACCCCACTCCGCCAAAACTGCATCCACACGCACATGAATTTGTCATGGGCACAACGACACTCTCACCCCAATACACTCCACACTTCTCGCACCTCAACCACTTCACCCCCTCTTCGCTTCGAGCTGCCGTCATTCCATAGACCTCACCTGAGCATTACCCGCAGCGCGTGCAAGCAACAGGCCGCGCGGACTAACTGTGGTGGTGGTGGTGTGTGTGTGTGATCTCCACCCATAGCATTCTGGCGCAGGAGCGCATGCTATCGCTGCCGGTTCAGGCCAAGGACTCGGTCGACGTCATCGGCTTCGTGGACGTCCTCGACGTCCTCACTCACATTGTGCGCCTCTGCTCCGAGGGCAAGACCCATCCCGAAGCCGACGAAGCGTTTGAGTGCGTCCACTCCTCCCACCACCAACACACTCTCCAAAAAACATTCTTGACATTTCGCCTCACCACAGGAATACCATCATGATGTACCAGAAGGGCTTCAACTTTGCCAGCACCCCAGTGAGCGCCATAATAGGTATTATGATGAATATTAAAACGATTCTTTATTGTTTCCATTATTGACTAATGCTGCGCGTTTCGTGCAGATTCATCATCGCGAGACCCGCTCGTGCCCGTGTACGGGCGTGGCACGCTGGCCCAACTCATCGAGGAAGCCTTCTCGCGAGGCGTGCACAGAGTGCCGGTCTACAACAGAGCCAGCACAGTCGTCACCAACATCATCAGCCAGTCCGGTACCGCACACGCACACCTCACACACACACACACAACCTCCGCACACGCACGATTGTGGGCGACAACTCATGAAACAACGCGGGCAGACATCATCAAGTTCATTATGGGCAAAATGGACGAGGCCGGCAACCCGGAGGCGGTGCTGGGCTCGCTCATGGGCAAGACGGTCGACGAGCTGCGGCTGGGCACCAAGCCCGTCGTCTCCATGAGCGGCGACCTGCCGGCCTTCAAGGCCCTCCAATTGGTGCGTGGTCCAACAAACTCTGTTTTTTATCGTTCTTGTGGCCCTGGACGGCCGACCGAGTGATGGCGGAGCAGATGGTGAGGAGCCGGGTGAGCGCGGTGGCGGTGGTGGACAAGGTAGGACAGCTGATGGCCGACTTCTCGGCCACTGAAGTGCGCGGTCTCAGTGTTGATAATTTCCCGTACGACACGACACGACACGACACGACACGACACGACACACGATGCAATGAAACATGTGGTGATGTGGTGGGGCGGAATGGTACCAGATCTCTGCGCAAGCCCGTGATCACATTCCTCGAGCAGTCGCGAAGCCGCATAGGCCGAGCCGAGTGCTACCCGTTCTCGACGCCCATCATCTGCACCGGCGATACGCCGATCGAGACCGTCTTCCTCAAGCTGCACATGCACGGACTTCACCGACTCTGGATCGGTACGCCAGCTTGCACTCCCTTCCCTTCTGGAATTGAGACAACTGAATGTTTGTGTGCTGCGCGTGTTGTGTGTGTCGTGTCGCGGCAGTTGACGAGATGGCGAGGCCACTTGGCGTGATCACATTGACCGACATGATGCGTCTCCTGTTGCCGCCGCAGGAACCACTGGCCAGCACGCCTCTGAACATGTAAGAGCAGCGCTGCAAGAAAAAAAAAGAAACGTTTTTCGATTGTACTCGTTTCGCTGTTGTGTGGTTGAAAAGTGCGTTTTCAGGCGTACGGCGCGGTGGATTCCCGGGTGGTCGCCCACCCCAGTACTAACACCGCCTGGCGCAGCTTAACTTCGCTGTTCGGATGGGAAGCGGTGCTTTCTGCGCAGTATGGCCGTATCCACGTGCTGCTTGCCTTCTGTTTCTCCTGGCCATCCACACGAGAGATCTTGCAATGTGGAGCGTCACACACCCAGTTGCACCACAAGCAACCAGTAATTGGTGGATCACGCATGTGGTGGACATGGTTGTACCTACCCATACGCCAACAGGAAGCTCTGGCCAGGTGACGAATTGGTGGTTGGCCAGAAGGTGCAACTTTCTCCGTACTAACTCCTGCGAACCACTTAAGAGATCCAATTTGCAGGCAGTTGGCCCACTGGTCACAATGAATTGTGACAACTGCGGGCTATTGGTTGTACAGGTGAGCCACCCTTCCCATTGGCCTTCACAAAATCTCACAAGCTCCCAAATGCCTTACCTCACACGCCTCATAAAGATCTTTTGTCCTTCGCCCTACCAGCACACAACATGAAGGTCGTCCTCTGCCTGCTTGCACTCTCCCTCGCCAGTTCATACCATCAACATTCAACGAAATTACAAGAATTCAACTTAACATGCACTATATAAGCCAACCACAGATATCTTTGTCTCTTTGATCAAGGAGACACAGGATCTTCAAGTTGCTCAACAAAGCTGATGATTGGCACGTGGTGAGCAGGGGTGCTGGGTCAGAAGTACTACGGCGTGAACGAAGCCGCCCTGGGCTGGGGCGCCAGCGCGATCCCCGGCCAGATGGGCACCAACTTCCCGCTCATCAGCAACGCTTCGCTGGATTACTTCGCGGCCAAGGGCATGAACACCATCCGCGTGTCCATCATCTGGGAGCGCCTCCAGACCACCCTCTACGGCGCCTTCGATGCCACCTACGTCCAGTACCTCGTACGTTGATTCTCAGCTTTTTACTTCTGTTGCGTTACCAGAACTCATTCTTCTTTCTTCGTTCTTTGCTCTCTTCGCTTTCTTTTTCTTGAACATAGACGGACAGTGTGAACTACATCACCAACGCCAAGGGCATGTACTGCCTGCTTGACCTCCACAACTACCACCGCTACCGCGGAAACGTGATCGGTTCGGCCGCCGTGCCCTACGCGGCTCTGACCGACGTGTGGCAGAAGCTGGCGGCGCTGTACAAGAACAACAGGCTCATGGTCTGGGGCACCATGAACGAGCCCTACGGCGTGGGTTACCTCGCCGCTCAGCTGGGCGCCAACGCCGCCATCAAGGGCATCCGTAACGCTGGCGCCACTGTACGCCCCCAATGGTAATCACAACTTTATTAACCTAACACCACCACCTGATGCAACACAACAGCAATTGATCACGATCAGCGGCAATGACTACTCGGCTGTCTACTCGTGGGTGGGCACCAACAGCCAGTGGATGGGTCCGGCCAACATCACCGACCCTCTCAACAACTGGGTCTACGAGATGCACCAGTACTTCGACGGCCAGGGCGGCCAGACCGTCTGCCAGCCCAATTGGTTCCTTCCTACCAAAGTGGTGCCCTTGCCAATCATTGGGCAGCTCCTGACATTCCCATGTGCTCTCAGGAATGTCGACTATTACTTCGGCCCGGTCACCACCTGGGCTCGCAACAACGGCGTGTACGTTCATATCTCCGACCTGCTACTTTGACGAGACAACAAACTAACTTCGGCTCACTTCGACAGTAAGATATTCCTGGGCGAGTTCGGCATCAACGACTCAGACCCCTGCCTGGCGCTGCTCAACAGGCTCATGACCTTCCTCACGGTCAGTTCCCCCCCTAGCGCTTCCTATTGGCTTCTCGTTCTGACATTCTCATCCAATCACCACACGCTGCAGGCCAACGCGGACGTGTGGTACGGTTGGACGTGGTGGGCCGCCGGTCCCTGGTGGGCGCAGGACTACATCTACCTGCTCGAGCCCAAGGCCGACGGCTCCGACCGCAACCGCCTCATGGCCACCCTTCGTAACTACTTCCCCAAGGCCTCCGCTACCCCGAGCCCCTCGACCAGCCGCTTGCCGCCCAGCCCGAGCGCTTCGACCAGCCGTGTACCGCCCAGTCCGAGCGCCTCTACTAGTCGGGTGCCGCCCAGCCCGAGCGCGTCGACCAGCCGTGTGCCGCCCAGCCCCAGCGCGACGATCAGCCGCGTGCCGCCCAGCCCGAGCGCATCGACCACCCGCGTGCCGCCCCGCCCAAGCGTGACGACCAGCCGCGCGCCGCCCAGTCCATCGAGCACTCCCACGGCTTCTGGCAGTGGACCTAAGTACTATGGCGTGAACCAGGCGGCGCTTGGCTGGGGCTCCAGCGCGCTACCGGGCACGGCGGGCACCAACTTCCCGCTCATAAGAAACGCTTCGCTGGATTACTTCGCGGCCAAGGGCATGAACACCATCCGCGTGTCCATCATTTGGGAGCGCCTCCAGCCCACCCTCTACGGCGACTTTGACTGGACCTACGCCAACTACCTCGTACGCGCATCCCTCTCGCGCATTCCTCGCATTACTAGTGTTGGATCGCGGTTGCTGACTTCATTGTTGTTGGTGTTGTTGTGCAGATCAACAGCGTGAACTACATCACCAATGTCAGGGGCATGTACTGCGTGATCGACCTCCACAACTACCACCGCTACCGCGGCCAGCTGCTCGGCACCTCGGCCGTGCCGATCTACACCATCACCAACGTGTGGTACCGCCTGGCGGGCGTGTTCAAGAACAACCAGCGCGTCGTCTTCGGCACCATGAACGAGCCCTACGGCGTGTCGTACGAGGAGGCCTTGCGCGGCGCCAACGCCGCCATCTCCGGCATACGTGGTGTCGGGGCAACTGTACGCTCACTATCATCAACTTCGTTCCACTGATAGACTCTGCTGACACGACACTCACGACACGTAACAGCAACCGATCACGATCAGCGGAAGCGACTTCTCCGCAGTCAATTCGTGGGTGGGCACCAACAGCCAGTGGATGGGTCCGGCCAACATCACCGACCCGCTCAACAACTACATGTACGAGATGCACCAGTTCTTCGACGGTCAGGGCGGCCAGACGGTCTGCAAACCCAATCTCGACGTGGCGGCTGTGTTCGGTGGCGTGACCCAGTGGGCTCGCTCCCTCGGCGCGTATGTCCCAACCCTTCACATCGGCACACCTGACATCATAGTATGGTGACAATCTTAATTTGTGCAGTAAGGTGTTCCTGGGCGCGTTCGGAATCAACGACTCGGACGAGTGTCTGCCGCTGCTCAACAGGCTCATGACCTACCTGAACGTACCGTGTCCCTATTCCGCCTTTGAGCCAGTGACTGAACTAATGGACCCATCCAATCACCACACGCTGCAGGCCAACGCGGACGTGTGGTACGGTTGGACGTGGTGGGCCGCCGGTCCCTGGTGGGCGCAGGACTACATCTACCTGCTCGAGCCCAAGGCCGACGGCTCCGACCGCAACCGCCTCATGGCCACCCTCCAGAACTACTTCCCCAAGAAGGCCTAAGCCCTTTCCCCCCACCTTTGTATTTTTGAAAATAAAAATCGTTTCCATTTCATTCTATCATTTTGTTTTCTGCTAATGCTGCTGCTCCCTCCGGAGGTGTTGCTCACAGCTTTGGGCCACCTCCCTGACCCTCTCGACCTGCTGCGTGCGGGCGCCACCTGCCGTCTCTTCCACCACCTCACACGAGGTTTGCCCCCCCCCATCTCATTTTTTTTACCATTGGAGTCCCACACGAATAACACAATTTCAATATAGATGACCAGCTGTGGGGAGTGGTGTTGTGCCGGTCTGGGCACGAGCGGGCCGCCAGGTGGCACTCGCTGGTCTTTCACCCACGCGGCATCCTTAACGCACGCCTCCAAGGTGCGCAATCTCTGCATCGTTCCTACTCCGGTGTGATGTGAAGCTGACTACACTCACGCCACACTCCACGCACCACCGCACACGCAACACCGCACACGCACGCGCACCACCACAAACAAGGTGGCAATCAAGATGAGAGGCACGGGGGCGTGAGCACTGTGGCATGGCTGACATTCCTTGCCCGCCAGAAGCGCGCCCTAGTAGCGCACCTCAGGTCTGGCGAGCCCGAGCTGACAGCAAGTACAGCACTCGCCGAGGTTCTCACCACAATTCTGATGGCGACGCACAACACTCGCACGATGAACTCATGACACGACACACACGGCACACACTACAAATACTACAATTATGATTCGTGGTCGTCCAGGTGCTGATGGGAGGCACCTTCACGAGGGAGTGGCTCGCAGGGGTTCCCAAAATGTTCACCGGCGAAGTGAGGGCGGCCCTCTTTGCTCTGCCCTCGCAGTTCCTTCTCCACTTCGTCATCGCTCGACTGTGGGCTGCAACGCCCGATGGTCTGTTTCTCCCGCAAATTAATCCGTTGCGCAGCGATTCTCACACCGCACACGCACACGCACACGCACACGACCGCATCTATGCAGAGCTGGAGAGGCGTGTGCACCTGGCCGAGTGCGATCTGGGGGATATGCGGATGCAGTTAGCGTTGCATTGGATGCAGGAGAAGCTGTCACGCACGTTGGTCGAGAAGTTTAGTCCACTGCTGGCACTCGACGAACCCATGGTGCGGCTGGATGTATTCCACTATCGCACACTCACACTCACACACGCAACACGAACACGCCCGCACATTCTCACCAAATCCGCACACGTATCAGCACACACACACACACACACACACACACTAACAATCGGTATTGTCCGCCCAGGCCAGTCCACTGAGTGTGGGTGATACTGAGTCTGCTGATCCACAGCACTGGGCCAATCTGCTACAAGCGTCCAGTCTTGTGGTGGAAGCGCTGTCTACCTTGGAACTTCCCTTGTACATACCACACGGCACACACGGAACACACGGCACACACGGCACACACGAAACACGACACACGACACTCTCAGGCGATTCCCACTGGCTCACAGACAGAAATCACAGGGAGTGCAGACTGCTTCTCCGCTTCTACAGCGCGTACGTGCGTGGCCAGCCTACGCAACTCGACCGCGCTAAAGTTGAAGGAGAAGAAAACGAGGAGGAGGAGCAAGACCGTCTACTAGCTGTAGGCGAGTTGTTGGGACGTTTCGTCGCGTTCTGCGCCGAAGGTGGAGTGGACGGCATGGCCACGATTCTCCGGGCTCACGTTGACGCTCTTCTCCCGCTGCCGGTCGGGCCCACGGGGTCCACGCGAGAGCGGTTCTCGGCGTTGGCCCGACGACAGCGCAACCAGACGCTGGTGGCCGGCACGATCTGCTTCCTGCTTCACCACCGCACTTCTTCCTGCGCCACCGTCCAGTCTTGGCTTCAAGCCAACCAGTCCCGCGTCGACCAGTTCCTCCGGCGCGCTTCGGTACGAGTAGTTCATATTTCTGTATTTTCATTTTCTTTTTTCTTTTAATTTATATTTCTAAGTATAAATCAATTCTAACATTGATATACTATTATATATTTTTATATATCAATGTTATCTAATTGTGAGAACAGACGGTGGAGGATGTGGAGATGGAGGCTTATGTGCGTGCGACGGTGATGAACGAGCAAGGGGGCATGGAGGAGCAGGAGCCTGTGACGCGAGCCGATGATTCAATCGCCCGTGTGGTACGAAGACGAATGCAGGCCTACGTGCATGACCTCATCTCCCTGTCGGGCCGACCAACACTCAACCCGGCTTGCCCAGCGTGGGTCCTCAAGGTACGACAGACACCCTTGGCAGCCATGGCTGTGCGCGCACTGAGGGCCTTCTTTTCATCATTCAGAGGCTCTACTACCTCTGCGGAAGCCTAAGCTTAGTCATCAAAGGTACTCGACCGCACAGCCACAGCTCAAAGCTTGGTGGGCCTCCAGCTGATCCTTGTGAGCGCCCCCCCACCCAAAACAACAAACCTACAGCGGCGCCAATCCCTGAGCTCGACGAGGTTGGGCCGATAGGGTACGGGGAGCTGCACATCAAGCGAGGCGACCACCGGTTCCAGTCGCGCAGTTTCCTGCGTGACACGCAGCTCTCGCTGCCGCTCGAGTGGAGAGTGCAGGTGCCCGCGGCTTCTTCGCTCTTGTCCCTCACCGAGCACCACCAAGGGCATGATGCTGATGATGATGATGATGATGATGATGATGACGACGATGACGAAGATGGTGATGACGACGATGATGATGATGATGACGATGACATCACCTTTCACGCCGTACTCCTCCCGTACAACGGCTCCGCGGCCGGGACTCCGGTGGTGGAGTGCTCAGCCAGCCTGGCTGCGGTGGCCATCACTGCACAGCTGCCCGAGGGCGAAGCCGCCGTGCCCGCGCGGCTCTGCCTGACCACCCCGAATGCTACGAACCACACCGACGACGACCACGACAAGAAGAAGCTCAACGCCGGAGGTCTGCGCGGGTTGGTGCGGAAGCTGGTCCACAAGAACACGCGCAAGACAACATCACCGCCCATTGTGGCGGTCATAGACAACGCCGTAATTACCACGAAAGAAGTGTGCGAGCTGACGCTGTCCGTGTGCTGGACCCTGACCTTCCTCTGGCCCTCCTCCAGCTGACGCTGCGACATAAATAAGTACAATAAAAAAAAAGCGTGCTGTACTCACGCGACGACAAAAGGCCGCGGTGGAAGTAGTCCCTGCGTTGGGAGTAGGGATTTCGGGACAAGAGCCAATTACTCAACTGAAGGCTCACAGACAAATGAAAGGATACTCCGGAGTGACAACGACCTCTTCATCAGGCTCCGCGGGCACCCCACCTGGCTCGGACACCAGGTGGGTCGGGCTGCGGGGAGAATTTTGCTGCTGTGGTATTGGCTGGCTTCCGCCCACCAATTCGGGGTAGGAGCTCTCATTAAACCGTTGAACATTGTTGTTGCGTGCTACCACCTGGGCAGAGTTCTCCGACGATGGATACGACTCTCATTCCCAACCTTTAAAAGCCACCGCCCCAATCCTTGACCCACCCTCCAAACAGAACACAACAACCCAACCAAGGCACCCAGCCTTCTTCCCGCTCACACACAACTTTTTCAGCCATGAGGCTCCCCGCACTCCGCCGCAGCAACGATGCCTACGCCAAGGTCGAGGCTCCGCCGGACGACAACAGCGCCGATCACGAGGAGAAGGGGCTCGACAAGTGGCAGCAAAAGCTCAGCGCCGAGAAGACGGTCGAGCAGGAGCTGCCCTTCGCCAAGGGCACGAATAGCCCGCGAGGGTCCATTCGGTCTCCGCGAGCCCTCATCGCAGAGCGGGGCATCAAGAAGCACCGGGACAACGCACAGGCATCGGCCATGGAGGCCTTCCACGCCACCAACCCCGACCCGTGGGCTCTCGGCCACTGAGCAGCACGACAGGCACATAATTGTAAATCTGTAAATTTTCTCCACTGTAAAATGATTGGCATAAACTTGTAATTGATCAAGCACTTGATTGGCTCCAAACTATTGATTGGCAAATATGTTGGGACTCACGAGTGCAGCGCAGTCCAGCAGGCCACCACTTCGGCGCAGTGGTCGCACACGCGCTCGGCAGCTGCCCTGGCCGGCGACTTGCCCGGCGACGAGGGCGAGGAGGTGATCGAGGCCGAGGACGAGGGCGACGCCGAATCCGTGGCCCGGCTGGGCAGCACCGTTCGGTGGCGGCTGCACCGATTGCACGTCACCCGACCGCATCGCCGACAGTGGTGTCGCTGTCCGAGCACAACAACAACAACAACATCAGTCTTCTTGAATGCGCCGCACACGCACCACCGCACACGCACACGACACACACGCGCAGGCACACGCACACGCACGGGGTTGAAGGGACGCACGCGCTTGGTGACGGAGAAGTTGGTGGAGCAGAGCATGCAGGCCGAGGCGGCGGTGTCGGGCAGCCAGGGGAGCATGGGGAGGAGGCCCATGCGCATCCCGACCACGGGCGCCAGCGCCAGCGGACCCTGCACGCCCTTGAAGGAGACCGAGACGGCGTCGCTCCTGCGGGCCGTGGGCTGGATGTCGAGCGACGCGACGATCTTGCGGTTGATCCGGGCGCGCTCGGCCTCCACCAGACAATTGGCTGCCCAGCAGAGCGAGAGAGTCAATTAAGTGTATATTGCCATGACACACGCGTACCGCACACGCCGCACACACGTACCCATGTTTTTGAAGAGGGCGTTGATGTTGAGGTTGTTGCGAGCCGAGACGGGGAGCCAGCCGTCCACCTCGCTCGAGCGGGCGTACTCTTCGGCGACCTGTCCGTGTGCGGGCGCGCCCAGTCAACGGCGAACGCGTTCACACAAAAAGAAAACAAACAAGAAAAACAAAGAAAAGGGCACCTCGTGCGGCACAACAAACTCGGAAGAGGAGGGCAGGAGGTCGGTCTTGTTGCCCGCGAGGATGATCCGCAGCGGCGCGCCGCGCTTGATCGTCAGCGCCTGGTCCACCCAATACTTGGCCTTTTCCTGCAGAAGTTGGTCAAAAAACGAGTGCGATCGGTCGTGCATGATTGGGGGAGGGGGCGTAGCGTACAAAGCTTTCGCTGGAGCACACGTCGTAGACAGCGATCACTCCGTCAGCCTCCGTTATGTACATGGGAGTGAGGTTGTCGAAGCGCGCCTGGCCGCCTGCGCGCAATCACCGACAAGAATTAATTAATTATCAACAAAATGAAAAAAGAAGTGGTTTGGTTTGGTTTGGTTTGTTTCTAGGGCGGTGCAGGGGGCCGACGCGATCCGTACCCGAGTCCCAAACTTCGAGCCGCACCGTGTAGTCGTCGATCGTCACCTCTCGGTGGAAAAAGGCCGCTACAACAACAACAACAACAACAACAACTAACGTGGTGAGATAACAAGTGCGCACACGCATACAGGCACACAAACACGCACAACCGCGCGCACAGGGAAGAAAGGCGAGGGTGAGGGTACCGCCCATGGTGCATTCGCACAGGGACGAGGGTTGGCACTTGCCCGTCTTCCACATGTCGCAGATCGATGTCTTGCCCACGCAATCGTCCCCCACCTTTTTCATCACCACCGCACACACGACACACACGACACACACGTCAACGATGATCATCCAGCACGAGCGAAACGCCCCAGCGCTGGGTGGCTGATGGTACGGACCAGCACGACGCGGTAGACGAGCTCGGTCTTGCGCTGCTGCTGGCGGAGCGGAGGGGAGAGGAGCATGGCCATGCCCAGGTCGACCGGCCGCGGTTCGGCGGCCGACGCGCGCTGGCGCAGGGACAGCGGAATGGGCGACGACGTCGCCAGCGGCCCGTAGAAGTCATCGATGTCGTGGTGGTCGCGGCGGTCGGTGGCTTCTTCGAGGTCCCACGGCCGCCCTCGGGTGGGCAGCGAGGCGTAGGTGGCCGATCGAGAGGGCGGAGATGACGATGATGAAGAAGAGAAGATGAAGAGGAGGATGCGAAGGAAGTAGAGGATCGAGATGAGAAACGAGACTTATTGGGGGAAGGGGGCGAAGATGGGAAGTCGAGGGGAGGGGAGAGGTAGAATCGAGAGGCCTCCTCCAAATCGCGGATGAGGGCGGGCGGCAGAGAGGACGAGGGGAAGGTGGAAACAGAATCGAGGAAGGAGAAGGCGGTGGTGGATGCATTGGAAGAAGAATGCTTGCCTCGTTGTTGGGGACGAGATCGCGAATTGTTGTTGCTGCTGCTGAAAGGAGAGGATGAAGGCGAGAGGGCGTAGGAGTGGGCGATGATGAAGTAGATGCATTGATCGCGAAGCGAGGTCGGGCTGAAGTAATCGTCATCGCCATTTGGTGACTTCGATTTCGAAGATGAAGGCGATTGAGAATTAAATCTCAAAAAATCGCGCGATTTGCGAGCGTGTGGGGGCGACAGCGCCAAGCGCGCCGCCATGTGAGAGGTGCCCACCACCGCCGCCGATGCCGACCGCGTCCGTTTGTTCATTGCTGCAGATGACGAGCCACCAGCTGCATCCAGCACTGTGCTGGTTGCCGCCGGCGTTGGCGCGATGTCGCCTTCCAGGCCCTCTTGCGCGTCCAGCATCAAAATCTCTCGCGCGCTGCGTCCGGGCGGACGTTGTTGGTTGTGCCCCCACGTCTGTTCTCGACGTGCCACGTCCTGCATCTTGTTCGTGTCCTAGCTAACTCTCTTTCACGACTTTGTTGTTGCGCCTCCACGGTGATGATTGCGCCCCGACATGTTTTTCTGGCCAATTTTCCACTGGCCAATCCGAGCTCTGCATTTTATTCGAATTCGGGGTGTCGGTGAAGCGGTGCCATCTTAATTCCAGGTATTTGCATCCCATAACTTTTAAATGAGCGAAAAGAGCGCTGCTGACGTCACTACGTTAACTATCACAGCTCCTTCATTCGCCAAGTAATTATAATTGGGCCAGACTCCGCACAACAACAAACAAATACTGCTCGCGCCCCAGCACTACAACCAGGCCTCTGCCCAACAAGAACAAGAAGAGGAGGTTGTTCTGTGTGCGTGTGGGAGATGGAGAAGGCGGACGTCTCATCCAAGGTACCTGCCCACTCGCTCCGTTCGATTGATTGGCCGGAGAGAAAAGGAAAATGAAAGAGAGGGGGCTCGTACACTTTTGTTGATGACGTTGCCCCCCCCCCACCACAAAGGCTTTGTTTAGATGGGCCGCCTGGGTCCTCTCCAAGAAAGGAGTCTCCTTGCAGGTACCCCCCTTCGCCCCCTCGCCTCCATTTCTATTTATTGGCTCCACACACAAATAAATCTCTTTTCTTTATTAATCCCTCCAACCACAATTATGTAAATAAATATATTTATTTTTAACTGTTTATTCGGTCGGGCGCCGTACCAGGACGTTTCCGAATTGGGCGACGGAAACAAACTGGCCCGCCTGGTGGAGGGGGCCACCTCCAAGGTACCTCCCACGCGCGCACACACACGAAAGCCGCCACTTCACAGCGTCGGGCTCACTCGGCCCGTCATCTGTGTCGCTCGGCTTTGTAGACGCTTCCGATGGGCGAAAGAAGCGGCGGCGGCGGCGGCGTGGCCGTGGGAGCCAAGGGCGTGCAGAACACGTTCGTGCTGTACTCCATTCTCGCGTTCCTCTCCTCCGAAGGCATCCAGATCCCTCAATCCTGCTCTCCACAAGGTATGTTGCCGTGTGCGTGTGCGGTTGCATGTGTGCGGTGGTGCGTGTGCGTGTGCGGTTGTGTGCGGCGTGTAGTGACATGGCGTGATGGGGGCGACAGTGCTGGCGGCCGGCAATCAAGAGCAGATCGTGGGACTCCTCAAGCGACTCGCGTGGCAGTACCTGATCATGGTCTTCGCCGCCAAGGAGACCCGGCGGGCCGCCGACGGTGGACTGATCGCGTGGGCCACCCAAAAGCTGCATAACCACGACCACGTCGTCAGCCACAAAACGTTCGCTCCCACGCGCACCCTTGCAGCATCGCATTCAGACCTGCACTTCACGCCAATCCTTACTTGTCGCACACGCACACGCACACGCACCACCGCACACGCATGCACCTACAGGCTGTATAATGGCGAGGTGGTGCTGGCGCTGATCGAACTGGCAACCGGTGCACATGCGCTGCAATCAACCGTACGTTTGGAACCTGCCCGCGGGTCCGCAATTAGGAGCGTGCACACTCACCTTGCCCTGGATCGCGCTGGGCTATCGCCACACAGAGCTACAGCGCGCTCGACGCCGAGGCCAAAGCGAGAGCCCTCACCGAGGGCTTCGAGGCCGCCCAGACGCAGCTCGACATTCCCCAGGTCGTCGACGCCAGGTTCGACCCACTTGCTCGCTCACTTGCTTGCGCTTTATCGCATCTTTTTCTGGGGCTCACAACGACAATTCAGCGATTTCGTCTACCAGTCGATCGACCTCACCTCGCTCCTGGTCTATCTGGCCCTTCTGCGCCGCGTCCTCGACGGCAAAATCGACTCCGGAGGTATGCCATCGCGCATTTCTGCTGACGTCATCGTGGCCGCGTGGGCTGATGTATGTGTGCGTGTGCGGTCGGCAGTACAAACGAATGCGGTGGCGACGAAGGCGAATCAGGCCACCAGCGCGGGCACGGCCTCCGTTCCGCCGCTGCAGACGGACCGAGTGGAGAACAATATGGGGCCGCACGCGGCTGCGTCGCTCGGTCTTCAGCAGAGGCAGAGTACCCCGCGCGAGATCGCCGAAATGAAGCAGAAGATGGCTGAGAAGGACCGGGAGCTCGAGGAGATGAAGCGCAAGATGGAGCAGTCGAGGCGAGAAGCCGAAGAGGAAATGAGACGGTGCGCTTCATATCTATATGTTTATTATTTATATTTTTATCTATTATAACCGCATAAATTTAACTGTTTAGGAAAAAATATAATATAATATACTATGTCAGATTGATTTATTAATGTTTGTTTTTCCTAAGGCTGGTGGAGGAGATCAAAGCGATGAAGGAGAAGGAGAAGCTGTCGTCTGCCAACAGCTCCATCCGCAGTGTCAGCGACCTGGCCCGATCCACATCATTGGGTACGTGCATGCTGTCGTGTGTGTCGTGTGTGCGCTGACGTGGCATGGCTGACAACACATGTCAAATCAGATGGTGAGGAAGAGGCGGCGTCGGCCAGTGAGTCATCGCCGCCTTCGTCGCCCGAGCCACTGCGGCCGGCTCGGCCCGACCGCAAGGTCTCCTCCGGCACCTCCCAGCGCAAAATCAGCCCCTCGCCCCTCGCCACTTCGTCGTCGTCCGCCACGCCCTCGTCGCCCTCGGCTTCGCTCCGGTCTTCGCTCTCTTCGCGGCCCTCCCTGCCCCACCACCACGCGTCATCGTCGACCTCGGCCTCGTCGTCTCCCTCGTCGTCGCCCTATTCGTCGCCGGCCACGTCATCATCCGCCAATCCCCTGCGAGCCTCGCCGCCAAAGTCTGGCGCCGCCGCCGCGGCCCTGCCTCTGCCCCCGCTCGAGCTCCAGATCGAGAAGATCGCAGCCGCGGCCGAGCCCGGCCTGGGGGGCAACCACGGCGCGCTGCCGACGTCGCCCACGACCGGGCCTTCGAAGGGCGCCTACGCCCGCCAGCAGCAGCAGTCGGCCGGCGGGAAGAAGAACAGCAAGATGCTGGACCACTTCATCGGGCACTTTGAGCGCGAGATGGAGTTCTACGAACAGGAAAAGGCCCAGCAGGCTGCCACAGTCCAGAACCAGCAGCAGCCGGCCGAGGTAGAGGAGGAGGAGGAGGAGGAGGCGATCGCGCGGGAGCGGAAGGCGAATGAGGAGGAGATGGCGCGGCTCAAGCGGGAGGTGGAGACGCAGCTGGCCGAGCTCGAGATGGAGGCCCAGCTGGGCGACACCAACGGCCAGCCCACGGCCAGCGGGAATGCGAGGAATGCGCGCAGCAGCAGTACCAGCAGCAGCAACGGCACCGGCAAATCGCCGGCCTCGTCCCCGCAGAGCAGCGGCAGCAGCCACGCCGTGGCCACGCCGCCGTCTCCGTCAGTGCAGTCCAGGGCCGACCAGAAGGGGAAGCAGAAGCAGATGACCATGCGCGAACTGGTCCCCAAGCTGTGCACCGACCAGGCCAAGACCCCGGTACCTCTCCCTTCGTTTAATGTGGCGGCGGCGATGGTTAAGGTGGCAGCCGCGGTCAAGATGGCGGCTGACGGTTGGTGGGCGGGCCGGGCGACGATCAGCCGATGGATTTTATGAGCCCGAGGACGGCCGAGGAGATCTACACGAAGATTCCGTCGTGCTATCCGCTGGGCGACGATGACGGTGACGCCGACGTGCTCCTCGACACCATCCTCATGCAGATCGATCTCGATCGCAAGAAGGGCCAAATGTCCCCTCGTGACAAGGTACACACGCACCACACCCACGACACATACGACGCACATGACACACGCACACGACGCACACAACACACACGACCTAAACGTGGCGTGTGCCGTGAGTAGGAGGACTACGAGGACTACATGCGGGAGAAGCGGATGGTGGACAAGCGCAAGCAGCACCTGCTCGACGAGGGTCTCTCTGCGGCCTTCCCGCCCTCGCCCGAGGAATTGCGGCGGCGCGACGCCGGCCCCATGAAGATGGCCACCCCCACCTCCAGCTCCGAGGACATCATCGGTTCGTCTCCGTGCGTGTGTCGTGTGTCGTGTGTCGTGTGTCGTGTGTCGTGTGTCGTGTGTCGTGTTGAGATGCTGACATGTGTTTGTGTCGATGCAGCTACGGCGGGCGTGGTGCGGCAACGCTCGCACTCGAGCTTTTCGTCGACCGAATCGCCGACGACCCGATCGCGAGCCAACACGTACCACATCTCCGAGCTGGTCCTCGAGGACGACTACGACCACCAGCACCACGGCGACGTGGCGGGGCGCCCCCGAGAAAGCCCGCGGGACGCCGATCACCCCACACCGGCCGCCGCTGTCGGCGACAAAGACACGAAAAAGAAGAAGGAGAAAAAGAAAGAGAAAGAAAAGAAGAAAAAGAACAACGGCGCGGCGACGATGACGTCAGCTGGCGGCGGCGATGAAGTCGACGAGAAGCAGGCCAAGCGAAAGAAGCGGAACAGCTTGACGAGCGCGTTCGGGAGCCTCAAGGTGAAGGGCACGAGCAGCAAGGAGAAGCGCATGTCCGGCGCGATGCGGACCACCTCGTTCTCCTCCCGCTTCCTCCCACGCTCCTCTCGTAGTAGCGACGACCCCGACAAGCCGGTACTGCGCACGCACACACCGCACATACACACACCGCACACAGATGGCTCATAGTTGAGAACTTAGGGGTCGCCGTCGGCATCGCCGAAGACGCCAAAGATGCCGAAGGAGCCGAAGAAGGAGCGCAGCTGGCGCGACCTGCGCAGCTCGTTTTCGTTCTCGTCGGGCTCGAAGGGCAAGGTCAGCAAGTCGACCGGCGCCGGCATCAGCTCGCCCCGGGGCAACAACAAGATGCGCAAGGCGGCCCCCGACGACCCGCGCGAGGGCGTCAAAGGCGTCATGATCGGCCTCTACGATTTCCAAGCCCGCAAGGAAGACGAAATTTCGTTCAACAGGGTACGCGCCCGAGTTTAATTATTGGTTAATTAGTTATTTATTTATAATTAATTTATTTTAGATATTCAAAAACGTTAATTTATTTTAAATTACATGTCTGACGTGTGGTGGGGCGCAGGGGGACTTGATCTATCTGATGTCGGACCTGGACGAGACCGGGTGGGCGCTGGGCAAGATCAAACCGCGCAAGCGGCGCATGTACGAGAGCGAGAGCAACGACGAGCGCATCGGGCTCTTCCCCGTCGAGTTTGTACGCGTGGCCAAGGAGGGCGAGGAACAACAGGCCGACGACGCCGAAGATGGCACGTAGCCTGCACACGACACACGCAACACACACGAACACACACACACACACACACACACACACCACACGACACACACGACACACACGACACACACGACACACACGACACACACGACACACACGACACACACTGACATTGATTGGTTGTCAACCAACGAACAGAAGACCTGCTGCCCCCGCTGCCGTCATCGGAAAGCCAGGGCTCGTTTAGCTCGAGCTCCTCCAATCTGAGCGCCGATTCCTCCCCGCCCAAGCCCCAGCTGGCCTCTTCGTCTTCCTCCTCCTTACCCTTGCCCGGTACCACTTCCCTACCATTCATTCGCTCGAGGCCTCCGCTCACTCGTGTGCCTTGTGCGTGTCATGGTGTTTCGTGTGGTGTGTGTCGTGTGTCGTGCGGCCGCACACACACACAGGCGGCGTCGACGCTGTCGCGGATGGGGCGCAGGGGTGGCTCTACTTCAAGCACTCGAGCAAGAAGTGGCTCTCGCACCACTTCGTCCTGACCAAGGACTGGCTGACCTACTACAAGAACCAAAAGGTGAAGTGGCCTCTGTCCTCTGTGCTCACCCGTCATTGGTTGTGTGCGTGTGCTGACGTCACTGCACACCGCACACGCACCACCGCACACGCGCACATGCACACCAGCCGGACAAGAAGCCGTTGGGGAAGATCCCGCTGGCGCAGGCCTGGCTGGAGGTGTCGCGAGCGCTGGACGAGAAGCAGAAGAAGGTGCATTGCATTCTCATCGCCACCCCGGCCGGCAAGACGTACGCTTCTGCACCTCCCTTTTTTTTAATTTTCAATTTATATTTATTTATTTGGTTAATTGGTTGTGGACAGGTACTACATGCATGCGGCGAACAGGGTTGACCTTGAAGCCTGGTTGGACGCCTTCCGCAACACCACCATTGCTGGCCTCAGGCAGATGTAATTTTTGTTTTCATGCACAACACACACTTGTACTTTGAGTCAGCTGTGTGGTTGTTTCTTGTGTGTGTGGCATTTGTGTTGGTAAGTTCTTTTGGCGGCCCTTTTTTCTTATTTAGATTTCATCGCGCATAATCTTTTCGCGCACGTCCTTGAAGTAGTTTAGCATGAAGTGGAGGTTGTGGATCGTTGTGAGCTGCATCCCCACTGGCTCGTACGCCTTGTGCAGATGATACAAGTAACCTGCAGAAGCGACCCACCACAACACACAGAAAGGGTGAGTTGTGGGCTGAGACTGGGAAGGTGGTGAGCTTGGGGCTGGCCCAGTACTGGCAGAGTAATTGCGGCAGGTGAAGCAGCTGCAGCCGGGGTCCATCGGGGCGTGCTTGTGCTTGTTTTCGATCTTGGTTATCGACTTCTTGCCCTGTCGCGTGAGTATAGTCCCGTGGCGCCCAATCCTACAGCAAGAACGCAATTAGTTCGTGTGTGTGGTGTGTTGTGTGTGTGGTGTGTGTCGTGTGTGTTGTGTGTGTTGTGTGTGTTGTGTGTGTTGTGTCCGGCGTGTGGCATACCGGGTGGGGTAGGCGGAGTCAAAGGTGTCGATGCCAAAGGCCACGCAATCGCCGATGCTTTCCAGATCGCCTGTGAGACGCACACGAAAATGAAATGAGTTGTTGTGCACAGCGCAAGAGCGCCACAGTCCGGAGGCCGAACCGATGCCAAGAAGATGGCACGGCTTGTCCTTGGGCAGCTTGGGTGACATCCACTCGACCAGCGAAACCAGATCTCCTCTGTTGCGTCCAACACTGCCGCCTATTTGTGTGTGGGCACGACACGCGCACACCGCACGCAACACGACACGACACGACACGCGCACACCGCACACGACACAGAGGCGGTAAGTGAATGCGTTCTGCAGCAGCGCACACGAGGAGCGAGGGTCCGGCGGACGTGGACGAACCGATGGCGAACCCGTCGAAGGGCAGCTGGGTGAGGTAGTCGATGGAGAGCTGGCGCAGCTCGCGGTCGACGCCACCGTGCAGGACCGCGTACATGGCCTGGTCCCTCGGGTCCTTTTTGTGAGCCAGCAGCGAACGCGCTTCCCATCTGCGTGTGTGTGAGTGTGTGTGTGTGTGTACGCGCGCGTGTGCGGCGTGTGCGGTTATTATAAGTGTGCTGTGCCCAGGGCGAGAGCATGGAAGATCGGGGCGAAGGTGAGACCTGTGGGTGCGGTGGAGGGAATTGAGGAGCCTGTTGTGATCCGTGCAGTTCACAGGCGGCAACTCGTCCAGCGGAATGATGATATCTGGCGCGCGACACGACACGACACGACACGACACACGACCCGCGACACGCGACACGCGACACGCGACACAACACACGATACGTCAGCCCTCTGACGGTGAAGCCGCTTGCATGGGCGATCCAGGCCAACTGGCGTACCGGCACCAAAGCTTTTCTGGTAGGCCACCGAGGTCTCGGGCGTGAGGACCACCTCTGTGCCGTCCCTGTGGCGCTGGCTCAGTTACAGTCTAGGTCCATAATATATAACAAATAATATAGAAATGTATTACATTAAAGAACGAGATGTGTGTACCGGTACGACTTGAAGTAGACGCCGTCCTCGTTGATGCGCTGCACGAGGCTTATGTATCCGCTCTCCTCGTTTTTCTCCCGGTCCCGTGCGCGCGCCAGCAGCTTCTTCGAGCGTTCATCCCCGATGCCCTGCGCTTCGGCCTCGGCCTCTCGCCTGAGGCAAAAGCGAGAAAGGGATTAATTCATGATATCAGGACACCACATGACGCATGACACACACGACACACACACACACACACGACACACGCACACGACACACACACGACACACACCTGGCAGCTTCTTCCTCTTCCTTCTCTTCAGGCAGCTGGTGGGAATAAATGAACTGGTCCCGAGAGGCCATCGACATTACCTGTCACCCCCACAGGTAAGCTCATTGCTGGTTCGATTGTGCGCAGATGTGTGCCGTGTGTGCCGTGGTGGTCCGCACTTGGAATCCGCCGCTGTCCGTCATGATGGGCGTCTTGTGTTGGATGAACTTGTGCAGCCCACCAGCGCTGCTAATCACGTCAGGACCCGGATGCCTGCACACATCGATGTGTGGTGGTGGTGGTGGTGGTGGTGGCGGCGGCGGCGGCGGCGATGATGATGATGACCAGGATGAGACACGAGCGTCAAGGGAAGAGTGGGTCACGGCGTCATGAGAAGCAAAACAACAGTGGGTGGCCACATACAAGAGGAGGTGGTAGGTATTCATGAACATGGCCTGCACGCCCATCTCGTTGCCATGAAGTGTAGAAATCTGACCAACCCACCAAGGTACCAGTGAGTCATTCACGACACAAACAACAACAACAACAACAACAACAACAACAACAACGGCCCGGACGCACGTACGTGCTTGAGCGTTCCGTTGGTGCCGACGGCCACAAAGCCGGGCGTTTCGATCACTCCTGTGTGTGTATGTGTCGTGTGTGTGTGTGTGTCGGTGTCAGTGCCCCAGAGTGCCGGCTGAGGCGGCAGGCGTACCGTGCGGCGTGTGTATGCGGCCGACGCGAGCGCCGGATCGCTTGGACGTGTGCAGCACCTCGAAGTGGAAGTAGGAAGCGGAGGAGTGCGACGGAAAGGAAGATGGCGCGTAGTGCGCTGCCTCGCCGGAGTCGGGCGGTGGAGGATAGACAGATGAAGATGAAGATGAAGATGCCAGAGACTGGTCGGGGGAGGATGGAGATGAGGTCGAATTTGTGGAAAATCGCGAGTGGCGGAGATGGACGAGAGATGTGAAGCAGTGCCCAGGCCGGGCGATGCGTCGCCCCATGGCAAACGGGGACGCCATGGTTGGGCCATAGTTGACGCACACCCGAAGGCATGTCCCGTCTCTCGTCCTTCCAGCCATTTTTATTGTTTTTCTGTCATTGAATTAAAAAAACAAAACAGATCACAAGGAATGCAGAATATGCGACGAATTCTTTCCGCGTGCCTTCTTGGAAGAGAATCTTCAGGGAATGCTCGGCCCAAAAAAAGTGAAAAAAAACAACAAAGTGGAAATCAAAACAAGATTCGACATACGAACGTAACGTGCCGAGCAGAATGAGCCGCAACGCCAGGGGATCAGCGCGATCGTCGCCAGCCAAGAACTTTGATGCTGCCATCCTCAAAGCCTTCCAAAAGTTCCGAGAGCCAGAGGCGAACAACGATGATGAGGCGTACATTGGCGTAGATGGACTGGAGAAGCTGTGCGACGAGATGGGCATCGATCCGCTGTCGCGAGTGCTCATCCTACTCCAGAAGGAGTGCGGCTGCGCGACTATGGGAGAGATCACACAAAACGAATTCCTCACCGGAATGAAGACTCTGGGCTTCGACGATGATGAATTCGCGCTGAAGAAGGTCGGCACCAAGCTCAAGAACAGTGACCGCGCTCTGGGTCACTCCTCAGCCACCTCGGGCAAAGGCGCCAAGTATGTTTTCCACCTCCCCATTCTCTACTTCTCGTTTCTCACCTAATGCCCTGTGTGTTCGTTCAGGTCCTCCTCTTCTTCAACAACGCCCGAATTCGCTGAGCTCTACAAGTACACGTTCGAATTGTGCCGCGAATCTAAGATGAAGAAGGTCATCGACAAGAGCATCGCACTGGGCATGTTCCAGCTGGTGCTGGGCGACAGCAAGCTGCACCACGTCACGCCCCTCTGCACGTATCTCGAAGCTAAGACCGATGTGAACGCTATCAACGCGGATCAGTGGTCCTGCATGCTCGAATTCGTCACGACCATGGCGCCCGATTTCTCCAACTACTCTGAAGATGAGGCGTGGCCTGTCATGCTCGACGACTACGTTGCCGACGCTCGACGAAAAGACTGAAGATGGAAACTACCACTTATGCTCAATACACTGTAAATTGCCTCAACATCTTCTCTTCGCGCACCACGTTACTCACTGCTGGGCGGAGGCGACCTGCAGCGCAGAAGCGTGAGTCCCCTTTTGCTGCCCGGTTGTGCTTCGTTAGAAGGAGAAGAGGAGGAGCGGTGTTTACCTCGTTCCAGGCAGTCGTGCTGGTCGTGGAGGACGGACAGGCGTCTGCTCCACGCTGGTACCGATCTCCACCATTCCCGCCTTTGCCAGGGCCAAGGCGAGAGCAAGGAGGAGTTAGACTGAAGATTGGCAATCGAGGCAAAGCTATTTCTTATTGGGATAACGAAACAACAGATACAGCAAAAGTGTGGAGTGATGGTGGTGTGCAGTGGTGGGGTGAATGGCGACGCTGGGATCAGCAATAAATAAGACTCGAGCGAGAGAGAGAAAGAGAGAAGGTGAATGCAAAGAACGAAAACGACAGAGTAAGGAAAGAATGAAAAACGAGGATCAGCACATTACCCCACCAGCCCCGCTTGCAGAGGGAGCGCCACCGGCGGCCTGGGTGGTCGGCGGAGCCGGCGGAGGTCCGAGGTGGGTCGGCGGCGGGAAGAGGTCCTGGAAGATGGGCAGGTCCTCCAGGTTGGGGAAGTCGAACGTCACCGCGCCCGACGACGTCACCGGTGCGGGCTCGCCCACGACCTCGATCGCCGGCATGGGCGCCGTGTGCGAAGTGGTCGACGATGCCGACGGCGTCTTGACGATGGGCAGGGAGGGCAGAGGCTGGCGTGACGGCGCGGGGTGCTGGCCCATGCCAGGTGTGGTCGGCAGCGGCTTGGCGGGCGCGCTGCGGAACGACGGCGAGCGCATGCGCGGCGACATGTGCGACGACTGCTGCGGTCGCGGGCGAGGGGGTGACGTGGACGGCGAGGTGCGGGTGGCTCACGGGCGTGGCCGGTGCGCTCGGGTCGGCGGACAAGACCGGCGACTCGGCGCCGACCGGCGAGATCTTGTAGTTGTCAGCTAGCGCGTCGAGCGGCTTGGTCACCCGCAGGAACTGCACCTGGGGCGTGATCGTGCTTCCCACTCTATAGAACGGCGACGTGTGAGCCTTCTTCTCCAAAACTCACCGCACGACACGACACGACACGACACGACACGACACGACACGACCAACAACACGACACGACACACATGACACACGCACGAACCCTTCTTCTTCGCTCTGGCTTCTGGCGCCCATGGCCTTGGGAAAGATCTCGCTGCGTCGGAAGCGCTTGATGCTGAGCCGGCCCTTCTTCTTCTCGCGCAGGGTCTCTGCGCCCTCGCCGCGGGGCGAGACCAGGCCCTCGTGGACCACCTCGAAGTTGTCGCTCATCGAGCCCTCGCTCGGTGGTGCGATGACCGAGCCCGACTCCTTCGCGTGCGTGCCGCTGCTCACCGAATTCCTGCGCGGCGAGAGCAGCGCAGCGATCGTCTCGCGGCGCTTCCGTCGCTCCTTCTTCTCCTTCTCCTTCTTCTCGCCCTCAACGTCGCCCTCCTCCTGCCTGACCGGCGACTGCGAGTCGGTCGAGGCCTCGGTCGTGTCGGGCTGGGTCGGCGTCTCGGCGGTGTCGGAGCCGGGCGTGGTCTCCTGCTCGGACGTCGTCACCGTCACCGCCGGTATCTCGAGGCTGTCCGTGGGCGTGACAACCACCACCGCCGGTGCAGCCTCGGCCGCCGGGGCCGCTTCGCCGGCGGCGGCATTGATCACCGCTGCCTCGACCTGCTTGGCCTGCTGCTGCTGCTGTTGCTGCAGCTTCTCCTTCTCTTTCTCGAGCTTTTCCTGCTCCTTCTTCTCCTTCTCAATCAGCTTCTCGGCCTTCTGCCTGTCCTTCTGCTCGCGCTTCTGTCGCTCCTTCTCTTCCTTCTCCTTGGCCTTCTGCTCCTTGAGCTGCTTCTTCACCTCCTTCTCCTTCTCCTTCTGCTCCTTCTTCATTTCTTTCTCTTTCTCCTTATCTTTCTCCTTCTCGTTCTCCTTCTGCTCATTCTCCTGGTTGTTGTTCACGGCCTCGGTCGCGGCGCTGGCGCTGGCGCCGGCCGCAGCGCCGGACTCCTCCTCGGGCGTCTTGCTGGGCGCATTGTTGTCCGTCTGCGACACGGTCTGGCCGCGCTTGCGCAACGACAACATACTGCGCGGAGATATCAGGCTCTGCATGCACGCACGAAAGAACGAACGCGACGCGACGCGACAGAGCGTCAGCCATGACTGAGCGTGCACGCTCGGAGCTAAACGACGACTGCGCGGTGGTGGGGCCGCGAAAGGTCTATACCTTGCGCTTCTCGCCGCTCTCGGGTGTCTTGGGCGCAGCTCTGGCGTCCTTCTTGGCCTGCTCCTGGGCGCGGATCTCGCCGATCAACCGCACAAACACCTCCTTCGCGCTATACACGTCCTGGCTGAGTCCCACCTGATGGCGTGTGTCGTGTCGTTCGTCGTGTTGCGTGCGTGTCATGGTGACGTCAGCAAAACATGTTTCATGGTGACGGCTTAGCGAGGTCGAGGCGGTGTACCTCGGTGTAGTAGCTGACGCCGTGCTCGTCGGCCCACTTCTTGAGCTCGCTGCCGGTGACGGCCCGAGCGTGCTCGAGATCGGCCTTGGTGCCCACCACGATCGTCGGCAGCTTGAACTCGTCGGTCGACCTTCGCACAAGCGTTCAGTAGACCACTTGTCAGCATACCGGAGATAGAAAGAACGAAAGTGAAAAATAAAAAAAGAGCGAAGGAGGAAAGGGAGATAGCGGCGCACTTGATGTCCTTGACCTGGTCGACTTTGGTCTTGATCTCGCTGAGCAACTGGAGGGTGCTCGGGTTGGTGATATCATACACCAGCACGATGCCCTGTGCCCATTTGATACGCTGCAAACAGTCCTGGTCCACACTGTCGATATGCCTGCCCCATGGAATGACATGTATTTGACCGGTTTCCGCCCTTCGTAAGCTTACACCCAATCGGGTTGCAACAAATGAAATAAAACACGACACCAAAAAAAAAAAGGAAGGGCAAGGGGAAGGGAGAGCGAACCAGCCGCCAAGGTCGGCTATGGTGAGGTCCACCTCGGTGCCGTATGTGATGGTCTTCTTGTATTCATCCTGGTCCGCCGGAAATAAAATGATAATAAAATGAGTTAAAAACAGCAAAGCCCGACAAGTACCAGGCGGCACGATACAAGCCATAGATGCACGACAAACACAAAAAGGGGAGGAGGGGAGGGAATACATCGATTGTGGGTACGTGTTGGTCGAGGAAGAGGCCGCGGGAGAAGCAGGAGCACAGGCAAGTCTTGCCCGTCGCCTCCGCCCCGAGGACCAAAAAATTGTAATACTCTTTCCCGCTCATGCTTTGGGTGCCCTTCTCTGTTTGTTTTCGCTCTCGTTCTTCTTCTTCTTCTTCGAGCGATGTCCTTTCTGTGGCTTGCGTGCTTCTTTCAGCGCTTGGAGGTTGTGTCCGTTAGTTCCTTTCTACAAGAGGGCAATACAGAGAACTAAACCTCCGTTGCACAACGCAGCGGCAAGCCGCGGGCGCGGGTACACGCAAGTGCGGACCCTTTCTCTTTGGTTGACCTCCTGGCGCTCTGTAAGACGACCGTTTTAGGAGCACGCCTCCAAACTATGCCAACGCAAAATCGCAGTGCGTGCTTTGCATACCTGGGGTCATAGAAAAGCAAAGTACGTCCACTATCTTGGTGGTCCCAACAAAGTCAGGTGGCAGGGTGTTGTGCATAGCCACCAACTGACTTAGTGGTCCAAAGCACTTTGCTCCAGGGCATGGGCACACATCAATAATGGGGCAACTGTATCACCAGGTGGTGCACATCAAGTACAGCATGTACCCAGTATAGGTATGTTCCCTTACAGTCCAACACATAGGGTAGGGTGACAAGGGGGAGACAGAGGACCAGAAGCTCACCATGCCTCGAATTTTCATGTAATTGTGCTGGAAGCATAACACAATAATTATTAGTATTTTTCATCAACCGCCCATTTCTTTTCATTTTTCACCTGCTCTGTCCAAAGGGAGTGTTGTGGATCTCAAGTCCTCGGCAGTGTTCATGAAGAGAAGGTGGGCCATTCCAGCCGCCAACAAGCGGGGCCAGCGCAGCGGCGCGAAATCTTCATCTTCATCTTCATCCGGGGATATGAAGCGGCACAAGAAGGATGCGGAGAAGGCCGCCGCCGCCGGCGGTGAGCAGCTCTATGGACTGTTCGAGTCGGCGCTGGCGCTGCCATCTCGAGAGGAGGCGGAGGCATTCTTTGCCCGCATGCTGGCACCGCTGAGCGTCCAGGAGTTTGAAGAGGAATTCGAGGGCAAGCAGGTGCTGGTGGCAAACAACGAGAATGAAGATGAAGAGGAGGATGGCAACGGTGAGGACGGTGGCAGCTCCGCCGATTTCGTGAAGATGAACGTGTTTGGGGACTGGCACGGTCAGCTGCGGGACATCTTGAACGACGGCGCCCACCAAGGCAAGATCTTCAAGGACGACGTTCTCGTTCTGCCCAGGCCTGGCTCCTGTCCGCGCACGCAAGGTACGTCGTCGATTTAAAGATATTTGTTTTTTTATTTTTTTTTATACAGATTGATAAATAAATAAATATTTTATCCAACAATAAAATCTATATGTTAAATAAACACAGGCCTGCCTTCGCGCAAGATGCAAGTGAGCGCCGACGCTGTCTACGCGTTTGTCAACAAGGGCCACACGGTTCGACACAACACACACGACACACGAAACATGCGGCACGGGGAACTGACGTTTGTGGCGATGTGCGCAACGTGTGGACGTGCAGGTCCGCTTTTTCAACTTTGCGTCGTTTGTGCCATCGCTCGGCCGTCTTCTTGCGCTCACTGACGCCTTCTGGGGCGCCTCCGGCTCCTCCCTCGAGCTCGTCCTCGCCCCCGTCCCGCCCTCTTCGTCTTCCGCTTCCGCGTCGTCTGCTCCGGCGTTTGACTTCTCCAACCTCACCATTCCCACCTCCGCCACCACGTCGGCTTCATCTCTTTTCAACGTCTCGTCGTCGTCTTCATCGTCGTCACCGTCTTCGGCAGCACCTGCTTCTCTGTCGTTCGACTTCTCCAATCTCACTGTTCCCTCGTCGATCACGTTCGACATTCCGGCGGCTACCACGCCTTCGCCGTTCCCCGCCGCTACCAACGCGTCTCTTGAATCGTCGTCATCATCGTCGTTGTTTTCCACATCGTCAGCGCCGTCGCCGGCCGACCAGCGCGAGGAACTGCCTGTCGACATCTTCGTGTTTCAGTGCGAGGGCGCACAGCTCCTCAAAGTCTTTTACAGTACGGAGCGACACTCTGCGGAGTGTGTGTACATGTGTACATGTGTCGTGTCGTGTCGTGTCGTGTCGTGTCGTGTCGTGTGTGCACCGATAGCTGCTCTGGGAAGGGCACAGTCTCTACGGCGGTCTCTGGTGTGTGGTGTGTGGTGGTGGTGGTGGTGTGTGTGGTGGTGTGCGCGTGTGCGTGTCGTACTCGTTTCGCCTGCTGATGTAACGCTCATCATACAGAGAAGCCCGCGCGTCAGAGCGATGAGGGCGACGAAGACGAAGAAGAGAAAGAAGACGATGATGATGAACAAGATGGAGAGGACATGGACCCGAGCGAGATGGTGGAGGAAGTGGACGAGTACACGCTCCTAGCCGGGGACCTTGCCTACATCCCCAAGCAAATGGCCTTCACCTTGACTCCCATCCACAGCGGGTCCTCCACTTCGTCATCGTCTTCATCATCGTCGACTTCGGCCGAGGCGAACAAACACTCGCTTCACGTCCTCCTGGCGCCGAGCAAGAGGACAACGTGGAGTCAGATGTTCAAGGACACGATCGCCTCCGGCATGCAGTGCCTGGAGAAGGAGAATATCGAGGTATACATCGCCACATTCAACTGCCCTACCTGTTTCTCTTCGCAACATTAAAACAAAATAACTAACATTCCTTCAATACCTCGCAGGCGCGCAAGACCCTACCCATGGGCTACCAGCAGTATATGGGCTTGGTCCACTCCGACAAGGAGGTACGTATCGATAATAAGAATAACTATATAACTAAATAAATAATAACAATTCTCTCGTGAAGAACGTGCCATCATTCACAGTCTGACGTGTGTTATTGTGAATGTGTGGACGCTATTTTTGTTTTTGACAAACGTATAGGACGACCCCAGGCGCGACAGCTTCCTGGAGCAGGTGAGCGAACTGTTCGGCAGCGTGTTGGACCTCGACTCGGGCGAGGGCAGATTCAAGATCTCGCAGTGGATCGACTCCGCCGCTGATAAGTTCGCGTACGTGTGCCGCCTGCGCACACTCACACGCTCCTTTCATCATCATCATCATCATCCTCATCATTGCGGCATTTTAGGAAAGCGTCGCTCTACGGACGGTTGCACTTCGACCTGGGCGATTGGATGTCGCAGTACGATGACCTGCGCGAGCGAGTGAACCAGAATGGAGGTAAGCCACGTGGCATGTGTGTCGTGTGTCGCATTATTCGCTGGTCGTGACGACATCGCACACACGTACGCACAGGCCTACTCAAGATCTCCAATTTCCTGCCGGAGCCCGTTGCGCGCCGCATACTCCACACCTTTGAGAACATGACGAAAGGTATGTAAGTTATAGAAATATATATATATATATACATAATACGTCTGGCTGCGGGTTAAGTGGTACTTAACGCTCATTGGCGCGCAACTCTCTGGCTTGTTCGCCGGAAAACAGAGGAGTGGCTCGAATCCAAGGCCGAGTACGACCCTGCCGACCCCACAACCTACAACAACGCCCAGCACCGTTTCATGTCTTCCCGAGGTACGGTGTGGTGCGCGTGTGTGCGTGTGCGTGCGTGCGGTGCTGCGTGCGACTCGTATTCACTCACCGCTGGTTTCTGTGCCGTCGGATACTCCGTTCAATAGTGTTCCCCAACAGCGATGCGATATTGGGCATCTTCTCGCAGCAGCTGCTCAAGGCCGAGAAGAGGCAGCGAAAAGATGACAACGGTACACCGCGCTTAAGCGTTCAACCACCTCGCTTCCCCGCCACACGGCGCACGCTCATGCCTCTGGCATCGCGACAGATCTCGAAGACGTGATCGAGAACAGCTTCCAGGCCGCGCGCTACTTGGGCGGGGACCACATCGCCGCGCACGATGACAAGTACGCTCTTCTTCTTCTTCTTCTTCTTCTTCTATTCTCCGTCGGCTCACACCCTGCGCCAAGGGCCTTCAAAACGATTGACGACGAGGTCTACTCGCGCGAACTGGCTGTGATCTACTACCTCACCGACGACTGGAAGGAGGAGTACGGCGGTACGCGACGCGCTTCGCACCACTCACACCGCTATTTTGGTTGTGTCGGAGTGGTATTCACCTTCAACGTCGATTGTCAGGCCTGCTAGAGGACCTTGAAGGCGGGAAGACCTACGTGCCGGAGTTCAACTCACTCGTCGCCTTCAACGTGCCGCGCGACCACGTCGTGACGCCCGTCACAGGCACCCGGTACGCGCGCGCTCCCGATTTACCCCTATTGATATGCGCGTGCGTTGGCCTCACACAATTGTACACGACACACGCGACACGCACGACACGCACGACACGACACACAGGCCTAGGTATTCTATCTTTGGCTGGATGCTGCGCAAGGGCCGCTTGTACGAGATGGACATCGACGAGGAGGTCGCGCCGGCCGACGAGGCCGAGGCCCCAACTGCCAAGCAAGACGACAACAATGCCGTCGGCAGCGATCTGGCCGCTGCGTCGCAGGGCAAGGGCAAGGGCAAGGAGAAGGCGCCGGCGAGCTTCGGGTGGGCCGGCAAGCGCGACCGGCAGCTGTTTGAGTGGATGATGGGCGGCGGGATGACGGCCGACGAGTTCTTCGACAAGTACTGGGAGCAGGCGCCCCTTCTCATCCAGCGCCGCCAGGACAAGGGTTCGCTCCCCGTCTCTCCACCCCAACATTGCGCTGCCAACACTTCGTGCTCATCATCGCGTCGTGCGTGTGCGTGTGTCGTGCGTGACGTGCGGTCTGCCAGACTACTACGCTGGGCTGATCAGCAAGGATGACCTGACCAGGGGCCTGCTGGAAAAGTTCGACATCCAGTTCACGCGGAACCTCGACATCACCTCCTACCAAGGTATCGACCACCTCCAGCTCCTATTGTTTCACCGGCCGGAGAGTTGAAAACTCTCTTCTTCTTCTTCTTCTTCTCGCAGACGGCAAGCGGAAGACGCACAACCCGGCCGGTCGCGCCGACCCGGAAACGGTCCAGCAGTTTTTCAAGGTGCGGCGAGAAGCCCCCGCGTCGTCAAGTACTGCTTGTTGGTCAGTCTGGCGAGTTCGTAGTAGTGGCTTACCTTCCTTTTGATGAACGTCTCCTTCGTTCCTGCAGGAGGGTTGTTCGGTGCGCATGCTCAACCCGGCCACCTACTGCGACGGCGTGTGGGCGGTCCTCGAGGGACTGCAGGTGCCCTCTCCCTCTAGACTCTCAAACAGTCAGCCGGTGTTGGCTGACGTCGTGTTGTGTCGTCGTCGTCGTCGTCGTGTGTGTGTGATGCCAGGAATACTTCGGGTACGGGATGGGCGCCAACGTGTACCTCACCCCGGCCTCCACGCAGGGCTTCTCTCCGCACTACGGTTCGATTTCTTTTTTCCTTTAGCCAATTGCCCAATCCTGCGAGTCCCAAACTCAACGTTTCGTTGGTCGTGTCGTTGGTCGTGTTGTGTCGTGGGTCGTGACGGTGTGTCTGCGCAGACGACATCGAAGCGTTCGTTCTGCAGCTGGAGGGCAGCAAGAGGTGGCGTCTCTACGCGCCCCTGGACGAGCCCTCGACCCTGCCCCGCTTCTCCTCCCGTACCGCACTCCCGCACATCACAGTGCACCGCACCGCACCGCATGCATACGATCCATTGGCAGTGCTTACTCACCGCGTGCTCGATTTATGAACGCAGGCAATTTCGAGCAGAGCGAGATCGGCGCGGTGGTGATGGACGTCGTACTGCACGCCGGCGACTTCCTCTACTTCCCTCGCGGCTGGATTCACCAGGTGTGCACCCAGATCTATTTACCCCGCTCCGTGTGTCTCGCTCACTGTGTGTCGTGTGTCGTCGTGTGTCGTGTGTCGTGTGTCGTATGTGCACTGATGTCGACAGGCGGTGGCGACTGAAGAGGACACGCACTCGTTGCATCTGACAGTCTCGACGGCGCAGTGCTGCTCCTGGCTCGACCTTCTGGAGAAGATGGTGCCGCGTGGTATCGAGGTCGCCGAGGAGGAGTTTGGGCTCATTTCCTCCCTGCCGCGCCAGTACGGCCAATTCCTGGGCACGGGCAAGTCGAAACTGCGGGTACACGAGGAACCACACACACACACTCCCGCACGGCCTTGCGCGGCCACACGACACACTGACACGACACACACCCGCACTCAATCATCGCGCAGGCTCTGCGCGAGGAGCGAGGCACATTCCTGGAATCTTACAAGCAGCTCCTGGAGGGTGTTCTGGCGGTACCTCTCTCGCCGCCCCTTTGTGTGTCGTGTCGTGTGTCGTGTGTCGTGTCGTGTGTCATGTGTCGTGTCGTGCCGTGGAAATGAGTGAGAAAGGCTGATCGCGAGGTCTCTTTCTGAGACTGCGTTGGCAGGCGATGCCGGTGGATTTGGCGGCTGACCGTATGGGCATCCAGTACATCCACAACTGCCTCCCGCCCTTCCTCTCCGCCGACGAGCGCCTCGCGCTGGCCCGCAGCAAGGAGGCCCAGGTTCGCCCTCTTTTTGCGTTCAATATATTATTTATTTATTTATTTATAATACTAATATATCTGGTGTTGGCGGTGAGGCAGCTCACGGAGACGACGGAGGTGAAGCTGCTGCGGAGGGAAGCGCAGCGGCTGGTGGTGGAGGAAGAAGCAGCGGTGCTCTACTACGCCGCAGGCAATCCGCGCACCTACGACGCCAAGCAGCCCCAGTCCCTCGAGTTCCCTCTCGACGTACGCCTTCTTCTTCTTCTTCTTCAGCTCGCTACTGCATTCTTGGCGCTCGCCACTCGTGTCTGACGCACACCGCACACGCATACGACCGCACACATGAATCGCAGTCTGCGCTGGGCATCGAGTTTATCCTGCTCAACGCCGACGAGTGGATCAAGCTGGGCGATGTGCCGCTGGAGACCTGGGCGGAGAAGGAAGTGCTGGCGCGCACCCTCATCGCCAACAGCAGCCTCCTCGTGCGGACGGCGTGACCTCCGTTGCTTTGCTGTTGTTGCTTCCATTACAAACTTTTTAGCCAATGGTTGTCGGGATGTTGCACCAACGGCAATTGCGGTGTGTTTATGGTAACAACTTCGCCTTAACTCCTAAAATTCCAGCCAATCCCGAAGATCTGTCTGACCGGCAGGCGCCGTGTCGGTTGGGGCAAGAGGCCGTAGAATCCAGCGCGCTGTGATCGCCCCGTGGTCCGAGCACCGAGTTGGATTTCAAGTGGACTCTGCAGGGAGCCAGCTACAACAACCACAACGACCACAACAAGGCAAGAGCACACAGCAAAACCAAAGCACCTAATCACAACCGCTAGCAACAACACCAACACCAACCACAACTACCCAACAACCACAACAATCACGACTGCAAGCAACACGATTTTCAGACACGATGAGCGTGAATGCCCACGACGAGTGGAGGAGGCAGCGAGAGGAAGAGGAGAGGAGGCGGTTCGTGGCCATGTTCGACCCGCGCAACTATCATCCCCCTGCCGGCAGGCCCGAGGTGGGGAGGCCGCCAGTCTACGACGCCAAGGCCGAAGAGGCGCGGAGGAAGCGGGAGGAGTTCCTCAGGCTGGTGAGGGACTACGACGGCGCCTGGCCGACTGACAGCGCCCGCTACTGAGGCTGCTCCCCTTTGCTTACGTCACGACTTGCAAGTCGGCTGCTGCACCGATTGAGGTGTTGATTATTGTAAATAGTCCAAAAACCAGCATTTCTCAGTTTTTCTCAGCGGAGCGCACCGATTTTAGGAGATAGGTTTGACCCTGAGAGTCGAGTACATGTCATTCTTCGACGAGACATGAAGAAGCTCAAGCTGTTCGTAGCGATAGTTCTCGCGCTCGGCGCCCTCAATGCCTACGTTCCACTTACCCCCAGTCCGGTGGAAATGGTGTCTACCACTTCTATCTTTTTTTCCTGGCCTTCTCCCTCACCCTCTGCCTCACCTTCACCTTCTTCAACCGCTTCCGCTTCTTCATCTCCTTCATCTTTACCCTCTTCATCTCCTTCTTTAACTTCTGCATCTCCTTCACCTTCACCTTCTTCTTCTCCTTCACCTTCCCCGTCTCCTGCTTGCGGCGATGGGTGGCACAGCTGCTCATGCTTGCTGGAGGCCGCCACCTCAAAAGAAAGCCCTTGCGGTGGCAGCGGCGTCGGGAGCGCGGTGGAGTTGGCCAGGGGTCCAGCCTGCCACATCACCCCCTCCACCAACATCGGCGCAGACCAGAAGTCAGGGGAGGTGGTCTCCCACGAGTTCAGCGAGGCCGAGCTGAGCGAGCAGTTCACCGTGGTGATCCTCACCATGGCCCGGCGGATGGCGATGCTGCAGCAGGTGCTGCAAGAGTACGACGGGATGCCCGCCATCGCCGAGATCATCATCGTGATGAACGGGCTCAGCGAGGACCACGTCGTCAGCCGCTTGGGTGTAACCAAGACGCCGATCTCCTTCTTCAACAACTCCATCAACTCGCTCAACAGCCGGTACAACGACAACAAACACTCACTACACCACTCGGGCTATGAGCTCACAACACTTTTGCACTCACTCCACCACTCACGCCACCATCAGGTTCGCCGTGGCCGACAGGGTCAAGACCGAAGCTGTGCTCGCCAACGACGATGACCTCTTTTTTACACCCCGAAGTGCTACCTACCTCTTTCGCGTATAGCTCACTCACATGCACAAGTGGCCTCACGCTCGCACGCTCGCACGCACGCACGCATGCGCCTCGCCTCTCACTTAACACTCATGCTCCCTCAGATCTGGCAGAGGCACCGCAGGTCAATCGTTGGCCCCACAGCCCGCTTCAGCGGTGAAAAAGTCTACCGGACGTCGCGCCTCCAGTGCTTAAACGCCATCCTCACCAACGCGGCGTTCCTGCCCACTGACTTGATGCGAGAGTACTTCAAGCCCACCGGTCCGGCGGCCCGAGTCAGGGCGCACGTCGATGAGCATCAAAATTGCGAGGACATCGGCATCAACTTCGTCGCGGCAGCCGCAGAGCCGAAGATGGATCCGCCCGTGCATGTGCAGATCAAGCCCGTCCTTATCAAGCACAAGTAAGTTGCACATCGTGATGGCCACCAGTCTTTCTCTCTCTTCTCTTTCTCTCTCTTTACAAGCCATGGACAATCAAGACTCACCCACGCGCAAACACTTTGCAGGAAGGGGCTCAGTGACCAAAAAGACCACTACAAGGAGCGTCAAGCTTGCGGCAGGGCGTTCACGGGCTTCTTCGGCGGACTTGGGCTGCCCAACATCAGCCACACTTACTTCCTCAAGAACTGAACCCCTCTCCTCTCCTCTCTCCGTCTCATTTTACTCATTACTGTATTGCGGAAAAGAGAGTTCAAGCTAAGCCGCAGGCGGGAAAGAAAAAGGTGTCGAGCCACTCGTCCAGCTGGGCTTCGTCTTGTGCCACGACAGCCTTCGCCACGCGCAGAAGATGTACCACCCACTATCACTTTTTTGCAAAAGCTGTTTCACATTGCCATGAACACCATCCAAACCCATGACAAAACTAGTTTAGGTGCTAAAACTGATAGGGGTGATACGCAGTTCATTTTAGGAAATTGGGCCGCCCAGAAAAAAAAACAAAATAACAGAAAAACCAACTTAAAACAGAGTCGAGTACGTGAGACATGAAGAAGCTCAAGCTGTTCGTAGCGATAGTTCTCACACTCGGCACCCTCAATGCCTACGTTCCACTTAGCATCAGTCCGGTGGAAATGGGTTCTTCCACTCCTATCTTTTTTTCCTTCGCCTTCTCCCTCTCCCTCTGCCTCACCTTCACCTTCACCTTCACCTTCACCTTCTTCATCCGCTTCCCCTTCTTCATCTCCTTCATCTTTACCCTCTTCATCTCCTTCTTTAACTTCTGCATCTCCTTCACCTTCACCTTCATCCCCTTCCCCTTCTACATCTCCGTCACCTGCTTGCGGCGATGGGTGGCACAGCTGCTCCTGCTTGCTGGTAGCCGCAACCTCAAAAGTAGACCCTTGCGGTGGTAGCGGGGTTCGGCGCCGAGTAGAATTAGCCAGGGGCTCAGCCTGCCGCATCACCCCCTCCACCAACACCGGCGCAGGTCGGAAGGCAGGGAAAGTGGTCACCCACGCGTTCAGCGAGGCCGAGCTGAGCGAGCAGTTCACCGTGGTGATCCTCACCATGGCCCGGCGGATGGCGATGCTGCAGCAGGTGCTGCAAGAGTACGACGGGATGCCCGCCATCGCCGAGATCATCATCGTGATGAACGGGCTCAGCGAGGACCACGTCGTCAGCCGCTTGGGTGTAACCAAGACGCCGATCTCCTTCGTCAATGATTCGATCAACTCACTCAACAGCCGGTACGGCACAACTACAACAACAAACACTCACGACATTACTCGGGCTATCAGCGTTCTACACATTGCATTCACACCTGGGGTGGGGGAATATGCCACAATCAGGTTCGCCGTGGCCGACAGGGTCAAGACCGAAGCTGTGCTCGCCAACGACGATGACCTCTTTTTTACACCCCGAAGTGCTACCTACCTCTTTCGCGTATAGCTCACTCATTTTCACCTCGCACGCTCGCATGCGCCTCGCCTCTCACGTAACACTCGTGCTCCCTCAGATCTGGCAGAGGCACCGCAGGTCAATCGTTGGCCCCACAGCCCGCTTCAGCGGTTATAGCGGGGATTGGGTATACCGGTCAACAGGCCTCAAGTGCTTCAACGCCATCCTCACCAACGCGGCGTTCCTGCCCACTGACTTGATGCGAGAGTACTTCAAGCCCACCGGCCCGGCGGCCCGAGTCAGGGCGCACGTCGATGAGCATCAAAATTGCGAGGACATCGGCATCAACTTCGTCGCGGCAGCCGCAGAGCCGAAGATGGATCCGCCCGTGCATGTGCAGATCAAGCCCGTCCTTATCAAGCACAAGTAAGTTGCACGATCGTGATGGCCACCAGTCTTTCTCTCTCTTTCTCTTTCTCTTTCTCTCTTTACAAGCCTGGACATGTAAGACTCACGCGCAAACACCACAACAGTAAGGGGCTCAGTGACAATGAAGACCACTACAAGGAGCGTCAAGCTTGCAGCAGGGCGTTCACGGGCTTCTTCGGCGGACTTCGCCTGCCCAACATCAGCCACACTTACTTCCTCAAGAACTGAACCCCTCTCTCCTCTCCTTTCCGGTCTCATTTTATTCTGAGAGTTCAAGCTACGTCGCAGGCGGGAAAGAAAAAGGCGTTGAGCGCCTCGTCCAGCTGGGCTTCGGCTCGTGCCACGACAGCCTTCGCCACGCGTAGAAGATCGGCGCTGAACCAGGCCGAGCCTGCAAGCCCATTGAAGAGGCAGTAAGGCTGCGTGTTGCGTGTTGCGTGTTGTGCGTGTGGTGCGTGCGTGCGTGGTACCAAGCGCCACGTACTTGTCAGTTTCACGTCAGACACGCAGGCACACACAGCGCAACGTCGTACCTCGTCCGGCTTGTTCCACGCCTCCCTAGCGCACTCGTCCGAGAGGGAGAACCGGGCGAACGCCCAGGCCCTGTGCAGGTACTTCGCGCTCCGCGTGGCCCGGAACAGGTAGAGGAAGAGGAAGGCGTTGCCCGAGATGCCGTGACACAGCCCCACGCCCTTACGCAACAGGCCGCGCGCCCACACGACATCCGACACGGCTTCCGCCTCTGCAGAGTTACGGCACTTATTTAGTATTTTTCGTATTTATTTTTATTATTTATTTGTTATTAAAAGGAAAAGGTGTACCGTGGAGGTAGATTGATTTGCCGTAGACCTCGTAAGCGCGGTGCAAGAGCAGGCCGATGGCTGGTGCGCCGTGGCACCACTGTACGAGACGATCACCTTCACCGTCGCTGCGGGTCGGATAGTTGCCGCTGGGCAACTTGGTCGTGATCAGCCAGTGGATCGTCTCCTCCACCAGCAGTCGGCCCGTCTTGCCGCTCTCCTCGTCCCGCCACCCGTCGAGAAGCTCGGGCCGCATCAGCAGAACCATGAGAATGCCGCTGAGGCCGTGCGCGACGGCCAAGTACTCCTTTTCGTGCCAGGCGTACATCAATGGAGGCCGCCGCGTGTTGCGGTCGCTTGGCATCTGTGCGGCGTACCTGCGCGTGGTGGAGATGCGTCAATGATGAGTGCACCGCAAGGCTCTGAGTTGCGCGTACGCTGATATACCGTTTGCCGTAGTCCAGAGCCGCCGGCACCAGCTTGGCTAGCAGGGCCGTGGCAATGTCCCGGCCCGTGTAGCGCTTGACAAAGTGGAGCGCGTACATGTAGCCTGGCCGGCACACCAGAAAAACAAGAGAATAGAACATTAGGACGATGCCAGGAAGCAAGTCCGGGAAGTTCGCGCGGTACCTGCGCATCCATAGAGCAGCTCCCATTCGCCCCAGTGCCTGTCCACGGGGAGAAATTGAGCCGAGATGGCCTCCACCTGGTCCACGTAGTGCCTCCTGCATGCCCCATCGATTGTGGTGGTCATGTGGCGGCGCGTCAGGGATCGATCGGTGCGTACACAACACACACACAGCACACACACGCTGGAGGGCAGAAGACGCACGACTTCTCAGTTCGGCCCAGGGCGTGGTAGATAGCGGCAGCGACGGCGTAGACGCCGGCGTCACCCGTGACAAAGCTGATCCCCTTCTTCCGGTCGCTGTGAAAGCCACCACGTCATGACATCAGCCAACCCAAAAAACATACTAACGTGGGACGCGGCGCAAGGTACGGGTGGCGCTCATGGCGTGCGCGTGTGAGCCTGAGCGCGGTCTTGATATACTGGCGAGCGTGGTCCAGGTGCCCCAGGTGCAGGTGCAGCAACGCCACCCCGGCCGCGCCTGTGTAGACGGACGGTCCCCTGCATACGTCAAGTTAGTGTAGAGAGATTATATGATGTGAAAAAAAAATAGAACGTGTGGTGTTGTAGACGTACTCGATGATGCGGGTGGAGGGCGGCCACTTGGTCTCGACCAGGGTCAGGACGCGCTGGATGTGCGCTTCGAGCTGCGGCACCGCCTCTCGCCGCAGCACTTCGCGCAGCTTGGCCTTGTCTCCCTCGGCATCTGCAGCGGGTTGCCAGTCGGCAGCGTCATTCACAAAAAACCTCTCCTTCGACTTCCTGTCCAGGCCCTGCAGCTCCATCTTCTTTTCTTCTATTTCTGTGATTTCCTTTTTCTTTGATTTTAAAAAAAATATAATCCAACACAGCCAGAAGAGAAATAAAGGAATGGAAGACACGCAAGCTGCACCACCCGCAGTGGTGGTGGCTGTGGGTTCGTGCTGCGTGGACCTCATCGGCGTGGTCGACCACTTCCCGCGACCCGACGACAAGACCCGCACACGACACTTCCAGGTGTGCCTTCTCGCTCCCCCCCCCCAACCCACTACATGTTGCGTCATGGCGCGCTACTCGCTCTGTGTGCTGCAACTCCGACCACTTATATGGACACACACGACACACACACGACATACGACACACAACACGACACAACACACGGCACACGACACACGACACACAGGTGGAATGTGGAGGCAACTGTGGGAACGTCGCGGTCGCGCTGGCACGGCTGGGAGTGGCCGCGCGGCCGCTGGCCAAGGTGGGCGCCGATGCGTGGGGCAGGTTCATCGTGCAGCAGCTCCGCAACGAGGGCGTCGACACTCGGTCCCTCGTCGTCAAGCCGGGGTAACTTACTCCCTCGATCCCTTTGTATCGTGTGTGTCGTATCGTGTCGCCTGCGGGCGCTGACTCAGGGAGGAGCCAACCAGGGTGTCGTCACCGTTCACGTACATCATCGTGGACCAGGCCACCAAGACCCGCACGTGCCTCCACACACCGCTCTCTGAAGACTTCCTCGACGAAGAGTTCTTCCAACCTGCGGTCAGTCATCGCCGCACGACACACGACACACACGACACACACGAAACTTACGACACAATTGGCCTCACGCGCTCTGTCTCTTTCCAACCAGCAAATCGAGGAGCTGCTGAGGGACTGTCGTCTGCTCTTTTTGGATTCGAGGCACCCGCGAGCTGCGCGCCTGGTGGCGCTCGAGGCGCGGAAGCGGGCGATACCGGTGCTCATGGATATCGAGAAGGTCAGGGAGGGCATGTTTGACTTGCTCCCCGTGGTGGACTCGCTCAACACGTCCAGCCATTTCCCGACCATGTACTTTCGAGGTACACTCCACCTCACCACCAACGGATGACCATTCAACCACCAACCCAACGGCGCCATAACTCTTCTTCGTTCTTCTTCGTATTCGTTCTTCTTCTGACATCAGAGAGAGCTAGGGGAGAAAAACGAACAACGGCGTCCGCAGCAGCCACCGACCTCACCAACGGCCTGGTGCAGCTCTTGAGCGATTACCCGCGGTTGCGCTTCATCGTCACCACGCTGGGCGAGAAGGGCAGCGTGTGGATAGAGAAGGCCAACGCCGAGAGCTGCTCAGAGCTCGGCGATGAAGGAGCCTCCACGGTGGAGGCGTTCGTCGACCGCAACTACGACCAGTGGTCGCGCGCCGAGAGCGTGGCCGTAACCGCCACCACTTCGTTGGTTCGACAGATGCGCTTGGTATGGCCACGGCCGTGTGCCGAGGCTGGGCCAGAGCCGTGTGAATGGTTCAAGGTGTGGTATTGTCCACCACAGCGTCTCCGCCCAGACGAGATTGTGGACACGACAGGAGCAGGCGACGCCTTCACCGCAGCCACTCTCTTCTCCCTTCTTTCGGCAGAACTGTGCGGCACCCACCATCTTCCTCTTCCTTTGGTTTGACGGCTCACCCATGACCATGCTTTTCGTGTTTGTGGCCCGGCAGGAGTGGTGCCCCAGCTACACCAAGTGAGGTGCTGTCAATAGCATCGTTCTGTGCTGCGAGCAATTGCCGGGTGATGGGCGCTCAAGCAGGCATGCCCACAACAGCGGACCTACCCCATCATTTACTTCAGCACATCTTTTGATCAACAAAAAAATGAAGCTTCAGGCCTGCTGGGGGTCGAACCCAGAATCTCCTGATTCGTAGTCAGACGCCTTTCCATTGGGCCACAGGCCTTGCTTGTTCTTTGGAATTCCGGAGCCTTGGTGCCAAGCGCATCATCATTTTTAGGGTCCAGATAGATCCCACGCTCTTTGGCACATGGCCTGCTGGAGCCCAAGTTCGCCGCTAAACCACTCGCACTCCTACCTTGCTCCAGGCCCAGGCGCAGGAGCTCTCTCTCCGCTGGCAGGCCGACTTTGACTTCATCTTTCTGATCGACCAAGACGAATTCCCGCAGATCTGCGACACCAACACCAACGCCAAGCAGTCGTCCGCCAGTGGGTAGTGGACCAGTTCGCCCCACGTGGAGAAGGCCAATAGATAAAAAAATACTGTAGCGTGCGTGTAGGTACAACACAGCCACGTATGCGAACGAAGTAACAAAGGTGTGCTCGTTCTGCACCCCCAAAGCTCTTTTTATTCACAATCCAAATCCATCCACCCTGAACACGTTGATTTCCACAGTTTCGGTGGTGGGGAGCACCGAAACCGGTTTGTGTCAGCGAGCTGTTTCGGCAAGGCACCTTCTACCTCCTCCTCCTCCTCCTCCTCCATGTAGCTGGTTGAGCGGAGATGACTCTTCTCCACCTCCTCCAACCACATGCTGACGTTCCATTCAGCCCTTCTTCTTGTGCTGGAGATACTCCTCATACGGAATATGGATCTCTGATGACTGTATTGTGAGAGAAAGAAGGAGAAGAGAGTGGGTGGGCATCAGCATCACATACGTGTTAGCAACAGGCTGAAGGGGAGCATGAGGAAGAAAAACTGATTCTTCTTCTTCTTCTGGTGTCTGTTGTGCGTACCTGGAAGCGGATGCACTTGATCTTGGCCACCAGCTTCTTGGTGAGGGGCTCGTCGCAGCCGGCCTTCTCCACCAGCCTCTCGATCGTCTGCGTGCGGGTGTACCCTGTGTACAGCGATGCAGGTCTCGTTCAGCCTTGTCCGGTGGTTGTCATCCGCAACTAGGCTCGAGGCCTCGAGGCGGCGCGTACCGAACTGAACGGCGACCGAGGGCAAGAAGGTGGCACTGCGCTGCACGTTCCTGCTGTCGTAGAAGTCGATGCGCACGCCGTGGGGACCAACCTATGACGACACGAGCAAGAAGGCAGACGTCAGCACGCGCACGACAGACGACACACGCGACACGCACACGACGTGTTACACACATGTGCGCACAACACAAGACCACACGGCGTCAACCGTACCTCCCAGTCGAAGCAGTCATCGCACTTCTCAAAGGCGAACAGGAGGTTGACGGTGCAGGCCAGGCGAGGGACCTCGTCTTCCGTCACAGGCCTGAAACGGCTGTCATCGAACGCGCTGTGACCACACGCCAATTGGCGTGTCCCGATGAGCGCAACGTGAGCCTGGCGCGAAGTGTGGGCGGGTGAGGATGTGACGCTACGACGTACCTGAGCAAGGCGTACTGGCGGAGGCCTTCGTGGAGAGGCAGAGTGCCGTGGGTGCCCTTGCAGCCGCGCAGCCTCTCGTCGCTGCCATCCTTGCTCGACTTCTTCCACCCCACGAACAAGGGGCTGCAGACGCACGTAGGCAATGATGATTTGATGTTTAATGCAAGAACGTAGTCCAGAGGGAGGGCAAACCATTCGATGTCATCAGGTATGTTGTAGGCATAGGGGTCAGGCGCGGCAAGGGGGGCGCCCTTCCTCTTCTTGTTGCCTTCGCCGTTCTTCGTGATGGCGAGTTCATGCTCCAGCACCTCGAAGCAGTAGTAGGCCATCTCAGGCGTTGCAGCTAGGTTCTCCATCTCTCTTGTTGGTTTTTTACAATCGTTACAATGATAGGACGCAGAAAAGATGAGGAAGATGTGAAGATGAAGATGATTTGTAGGACAATGATTACGCTCTGGCCTCCTCTCGAATGTACAAGCTAATTACAAAGGTGGGGCTCGGAATCTATCTACAAAGCGGATGGATGAATGTCGAATGGAGAACATGCAACACAACAGGTCGCCTGTCTTTTTCAATATCTCAATTATTGGTTGGCGGAGGATTGGGATTCCTCCGAGGAGGCGACAATGACCACACGTGCGGGCCGACAAAAGGCACAGCGTACGACCAGGCCAACATATATTTTCGAAGATTGGGAAATCAAATCAAACGATTGTCGATTTGTTTCTTTTTTCAATTGATTGAAAAGGCCACAATCGAGGAGACGCTGCGTGTCGAGACACTGAGCGCGCGAGAGAGAGAGAGCCCGGGCCTCTACTTCCTCCCATGTCCATGCGTAAAGGCAGCCACGGACGATTGGGGAGCAGCAAGAAGGAGGAGGCGCCCCTTCTCCATTCGCTGATTCGTGAATCAGGCACATTGAAGGAAGTGGAAGAGCTGCTAAAGGAAGATGCCTCGATGATACACGATCGGGATCGCTTGGGCGGCACGCCGCTCCACGCGGCGGTGGAGGCCGGAAAGGCCGACATTGTACAATACCTCCTGGTAAAGTCGGGTATCAACGTGAATTTAATCGACCGACATGGCTGGACGCCGCTACACACGGCCTGCCATCGAGGCGACCTGGCCGTCATCGAGCTCCTTCTGACCGGCGGCGCCGGTGGTCTTGGGACCAACAACCCCAGCATTGGCGTTAAGCCCAAGGGGTTCGGTGGCTCCAATGGCTTCGATTCTCGCTCCCCCTCCAACTTGTACGTTGCACTCTCCTCTCATCCCCCTTCCCGCGTTGCACGTTTCGCCATTGCAATTCAATCTTTTTTACTTTTCCATCTTACGCTTGGAAATCTACACCCACCAACGTACAAGCTATCGTTTTGCACAGCTAGCTTTGGCCCTGCCCATTTTAATTCTGTGTGATCGAATGTGCCCCGAATTATGCAACGAGATGGACATCATCGCTCCAATTTCACCAGTTCACATCCGTGTGCCGCTTCTCTGAAGTTTCGTGGTAACACGGCAATATGTATATATATTAGGTTGTAATACTTGATGTATATTACTGTTGTGTGTTTCGCGTCGTGTTAGTTTCGGTCACAAATAGTTCACCATTGCCTAGCACTCACTAACACTCGTCGGCCTTGTTACTCTGCAGTGTGAGCGTGACACTTACAACGGTGGACCTGTCCACACCACTGCACTACTTTGTGCGACACCCGCCACCCGACCAAGCCCCCGGCATCAAGTACGCCTCTTTCACTCCTCGCCGCCACACATGTGTGGTGTTACAACACATACGTGCGTTCTCGCTAACATCTGCCTCTTCCCGGTCGGTTGCAGGGTGGGCATGCGCACTTCATCGGAGACCTACTATTCGTTGCCCATGTCACACACTCCCCCAGCGATCTCGAAAGGGTTTCTCCTACGAGAGTACACTTTCCCCTCTCCCACTCGCCGCTCTCGCGGTGCACCGCGATCTTCTTCTTTAATGAATTCACACGCTTGTCGCAACCGACAGAACGGGCGAGGCGACGCGTAAGTGGAGGAGCGACGGCAGCCGACCCTACGCGATGCCCGCGCACGATAAATATTTTATCATCCTCCAGTACCTGCTGGGACCCAAGCAGGTACATATGGTTCCCCTTTCTTTCTTGCTTATCTCACCATCGTTAAGCATCTGGGTCTCACCATTTCTTCTTGCGACGTTGTGCGCGATGCTCCTCATAATCTTAGGGTCCACTAAACACGTCCAACGCGATGAACAAAAACGGAGAGACTCCGACACATCTTCTCGCCTCAGCCCGCACCTCTTCTCCTCTCGTTCTCGCGTATCTTCTACAGCACGACGCGAACGTCAACATCACCAACCGGTACGTCTCTAATGTTTTGTTTTTTTAAAACCAAAATTATTTTTTTTTGCCTGCTCGAGCCCTACACATGCACTCGCTCAGTGTCAGCACCGTAACCCGATCCGTCTGCTGCTTCCAGGTATGGTGAAACGCCGCTGCACTTGGCTGTGAGAAATGGGCGGGCGGAACTGGTGGAGATGCTGCTCGAGCATGGCGCGGACATGACAGTCGTGGGCGGGGAGGGAACGCCGAGGGACGTCGCTCTCCGGGCGAAGCTGCCCGAGATGATGGCCCTGCTCGATAAAGAAGGTAAACATTCATATAGCCATCAACCACAGCCGCACACGCACCACACACGCACCACACACGCACACGCACAAGACTCATAATGCTGTCGCGTGCGCTACACACAGAAAAGCGACGATTGAAGGCCTTGAAAAAGAAGAAAAAGAAGAGCAAGGGCAAGAAGAAAAAGAAGGGCTCGTCGGAGGAAGTGCACTCTTCCGACGCGGGCGAGCGATTGAACCCGTTCGCGAGCGGCAAGGAGAGCGGCGGGAGCCTGTCGAGCACCACGTCGGGGCTCAAGGGCAGCGCCGAGCAGAAGATGGACGAAGAGGGCGATCTGAGCGTGAACGACAAGGAGCGCATGATCGAGCTGCTCAACTCGCTCAAGCTGACCAAGTACATTCCGCTCTTTGTCGACGAGGACATCGGCATGCGGGCGCTCATGCTGCTGACCGACGACGACCTCAAGAGCCTGGGCGTCAAGATGGGCGGCCGACGGGTCATCTTGGACTACACGCAGAAGGAGCGGGAGCGGGAGGAGAAGGAGCGGGAGACCGGCGAGCGACGGCGCGGCGGGAGCGCTAACGGCAGCCCCAACACGCACGCCAGGAAGAACAGCGGCGGGATCAAGGTCGAGCGGCTCAGCACGAGCGCGCGCAACCTCGGCCCGCTGGTCTCCAAGCGACGCGGGCGGGACGCCCCGCAGCGGAAGAGCGTGGACAGCGGACCGGCGACGAGCGAGTCCATCGCGTTGATGGCCAAGAGCACCAGCGGCCTGCCCACCGACGACGACGACACCGGCGGCGAGGACTGCAACTTTGAGGAGGTGGACGCGCCCGAGGAGCGCGAAGAGGACGAGGCCGAGTTGAGGTACCTGCGACATTCTCTTTCTCTTTCTTTTCGTTTCCCTGTTTTCATGGCTAACCGACAAACAAAAAACAGTGACAGTTCCGGGGTGGAGATGAAGGCGACGATCGCGGTCGACAGTCTCTCACTCGACGAACACTTGGGGACGGGTGCGCGCTCTCTTTCCCACAAACATCGTTTCGCTTCGCTTCTTGTTTCAAAAGAAACTCACAACTACAACAATTTTTGTCGAGAGCAGGAGCTTTCGGAGATGTCTACAAGGGTCGATTGCGAGGCATGACCATCGTTGCCGTCAAGAAACTCACCGGCGTCAACCAGACGGCGTTCCTCCGCGAGGCCAAGATCATGCAGCAGATCCCGAACCACCCCAACGTGGTGACCTTCTACGGCATGGCGGCCTCGCAGAACGTTCTCTACATCGTCACCGAGTTTGTGCCCCATGGCTCGCTCGCGGTACGTCACCACCACCACCCAACCCGCCGCCGCCGCCGCCGCCGCCACCGTCGCCACCCAACCCGCCGCCTCAGCCAAAGAATGTAATCGCCGAGCGATCTAATGCCTCATGTTGCGGTCGCGCAGCTCTACCTGCGGAGCAACATCAACAAGGTGCCCATGCATGTGCTGGTGCAAATGGCCAAGGACATCGTGAGCGGGATGGAGCACCTCCGGGCAAACGACGTCGTCCACCGGGACCTGGCCGCGCGCAACCTCCTTCTCGAGATTCGATCCAATGGTGAACACAGGGTCAAGGTACAGCTGCGTTCGTCTTGCTCCGCTCTTCCTTCGCTCTGGTCTCACCGCGTCTCTTTTTTCGTTCTTTTGCACGACGCGCATGACACAGGTGAGCGATTTTGGGCTGTCCCGTCCGCTGATGGAAAGCGAGTACTACAAAACGGGCGACTCGTCGCGAGGGCACATTCCCGTCAAGTGGACCGCTCCCGAGGCGCTCAAATGGCTCAAATACTCGTCCCAGTCTGGTAATATGACCCACGCCTCGCCCACACACGACACACACACCACACACACACCACACACACACCACACACACGACACACACACCACACACACCACACACGACACACACCATTGCTGCGCCGCTGCTTGGTGTACTCACCACTCTCGTGTCGTGTCATGAAGACGTGTGGGCCTTCGGCGTGGTGCTCTGGGAGATTTTTTCCTACGGACAGGCGCCCTACCCGGGCCTCTCCAACTCGGAGGTGATACAGGAGGTGTCGAAGGGCTATCGCATGCCGCCGCCCGACAACTGCCCCGGCCAGATCGTGGAGCTGATGAACGAGTGCTGGCACGACGATCCATTGAAGCGACCACAGTGGATCAACATTTTTGTCAAGCTTTCCGCACTCGAGGAAAAGTACGGACCCTTTGCCACACACCGCACACAATGGTGGCTGACCCGCTTCTCTCTGTGTGTTGTGTGTGTGTGTGTGTGTTGTGTGTGTAGGCTCTTGGACGAGTGGGAAGAGAAGGAGAGGCGGCGAGAGAAGGACGACAGGGAAAAGCAAAAGGACATGGCCGACCTTAAGAGGCGGTTAGAACTCCAAGAGGAAATTGAGCGGGAACTCGAAAACGCAGCAAGAAACTACTCATCTCAGGTGGCTATACCCTCCCCGTCGTGCGTGTCGTGCGTGTCGTGCGTGTCGTGCGTGTCGTGCGTGTCGTGCGTGTCGTGCGTGTCGTGCGTGTCGTGCGTGTCGTGCGTGTCGTGTCCCGTGCCTTGTAATGGTTGTTAATCTCGCTGTTTGTCTCCACTCGACACACCAGCACGAATGCATAGCGCAGATCGAGCGTATTCTGGATGAGTTGGATCGGAAAGTTGACGAATCAACAAGTCGCTCCGTCTCTCCACTCTCTTCGCCCTTCAGCTCCGTCCAGGGCAACTCCTCTTCCTCCTCCCTCCCGTCCTCCTGATTCCCTCATCTTCCCTTCCTCTTCCGCTCTTTTCTTTCCTCCTCGCCTTGGCACGACCGGGCGTATCACTTCGACGGCTTGGCATTCTACTCGGGCGAGTAGATGAACCGTCGTCAAGAATCGATGCAGCACCAAACGACAACTACGCCGGCGAGACAAACACGACACACGACACACAACACAACGCACAGATGGCCACGCAGTTTAGAACCACGCTTGTATTTATTATTGTTTTTTAACCACCCAACCAAAATCAAACAAGAAAATTCGACACAACCTTTGATTCTTATTGGCCCAAAATGTTCGATCGGCCCACTTCGCCCGAAGCGAACAGATATCAATTATTTCCACTGAACCATAAACACAACAAAACACAAGCACCAAACATGTCGAGGAAGACGACGACGACCGAGGCAGGTGGAGCTTTTCGCGGCGCGAGCGGCTACGTGAAGCAGACCACGGAGCAGCCCTTCTTCCCCTATGGCTGCCCCTACTGCAAGAGGGAGAACGTGACCAGCAAGCCGGGCAACAGCTGCGGCCGCCAGGAGTGTAACGAGAAGTGGAAGAAGGACCACCAGGGCATCGGCGACGCCATCGCTCGTCGCTTCAAGTGAGCACTCCCCCCCCAACTTCATTCTTCCCTTCGCCCCAAAAATGAAGCAAACTTGCTTCCACCAAACAAGACTTTATTTTGTATTTTACTTCTTTGGTCGCCCGCGTGGCCACGAGGGGCCAACCAGTTCACCAGAGCTCGAATTGGTTGTTGAGGTTCGGGTAGGTGAGGCTGTAGTAGCCGTCGGTCTCGGGCGGGGTGGGGAAGAACCACTGCAGCGGCGACGAGCCCATCACCTGCCTCAGGTTGGCTTGCGGACCCAAGTCGTACTTGTGTCTCAGTTTCTGAGTGCGTGCGTGCGTGCGTGCGGTGTTGTGTGGTGTGTGGGTGGGTGGTGATGCGAGTTAGCGGTGGAGGCATGGGGTAGGAGGAGGATGACAGCAAGGGTACCTTGCCGTTGCTTGGCCGGCCTCGTCGCCAAAGCCGCGCGCGGAGGGCCATCTTCTCGATCGTCGTCGCGTTGGTGATGATGAGATTTAACGTGTGGAAACCCATCGCTGGATCGGCCAAGCAAACAAAGCGTGTCATTTTCAAATAATAATAAAACAATCCACCAATAAATAATAAAAAAGAATATAAGTAATATTATTTAATTATTATTATTAATATTATTAAAAATTAAGCGTACCCGTGAGATTAATGGTGAAGGCGGCCGCCACCCAAACGATCATGCCTGGAGACGATCTCGGTTAGCACCGCCCGCAAGAGTGCGACAACACTCACGTACCGACGGTGACGCCGTTGATCCATAACTGCTCCGACGTATACTTGTCGCTCTGGATAGACACGCATGAGTCACACAGCACACGACACGACACGACACACACGATACGCGACACGCAACACAGCGGCAAGCATGCAACACACACGTACGTGTTTGAACAGGTCGTAGATGCAGAAGCTGAAGAGCGTGAGGAACATCGCGCCGACGCCAGCGCCGTAGAAGAGGAACAGGAAAAAATACTTCAGGTTGTTGTGGCCCACGCCTGCACCATTACATGCCATCGACGCGCCACGTGAGTGCAAAAGTGACACACGCAACACGCGACACACGCGACACACCGCGACAAACAACTAAAGAGAACCCAGCTGGGTGCGTACAGTTGTTGATCCAGGGGCAGTGGTGGTCCATGCGCAGTACGCACCGGTTGCAGTGGCGACAGTGGTGCGCGCGCGGCGGGCGGTGAGACGCGCACTTCTTGCAGTAGTTGGTGTCCTCCACCACCTCGATGTCCTTCTTCCTGTTCTTCGGCTTCTTTTGCTTCTGATCGGGGTCGCTACCTTCCTCCTTCTCCCCCTATAAAGTAACAGCTCAGCGTGTGCGGACACGCGCGTGCCTCTGTGTGTTGTGTGTGTGTGTGTGTGTGTGTGTGTGTGTGTGTGGTGTGTGTGTGTGTGTGTGTGTGTGTGTCGTGTGTCGTGTGTCGTGTGTCGTGTGTCGTGTGTCGTGTGTGTCGTGTGTCGTGTGTCGTGTGTCGTGTGTCGTGTGTCGTGTGTCGTGTGTCGTGTGTCGTGTGTCGTGTGTCGTGTGTCGTGTGTCGTGTGTGTCGTGTGTGTGACACGAACCTCGCTGTCGCTGTCGGACGATGAGGAATCGGCATCGGAGTCGCTGGCCGAGCCATCGTCATCGCGATCGCGTATGCGCTCCTTGCCCTTCGACGGCCCGCGAGCACCGCCGCTGCCGCGCAGCAGCTTCATTTCCACGTCACCGTCGCCGCGGGCGCCGCCGTCGTCGGACTGCTCGTCACCGCTCGCGGCCTGCTCGTCATCGCGCTCCGCCACCGAGTGCAGCCGTCCCTCCTCCATCTCCGGCGGCAGCTGAGCCCAACAACAAAAGTGAGTCGCGTGTGCGTGTGCGTGTGCGGTTGTGTGTGCGGTCGTGTGTGTGCGGTCGTGTGTGTGTCACGCACGTAGCCGGGGAGAACGAAGCCGGGGTCGGTGCGGATGGCGCAGTAGTAGGAGTAGAGGCAGAGGATGACGAGCGCGTGGAACACGAGGAGGATGAAGATGTGGAACGGGTCATGGGCGGTGTACATCATGTAGGGGATGAACACGTAGTGCCACACGGACCAGTAGCCCACCGCGCAGAAGGCCCACACGAACGCCACACAGAAGCGGCCGCCCCACCGCACGCACGCGTCCATGGCCGCCAGTCTGTGCTTGGCGCTCGCCCTCATGTGCATGTCGCCTGGTCTGTTTTTTCAAATCAACACAAAAAATAAATAAGCCACAAGAGCTGGTGAAATCAAAAAAAGGTGAATGGGTCGAGTAAAAACCTTGAATTGCCATTAACAAAAATAAAATTGAAGGTGGGGAGATGGATGTCGGTACCTGTTGCTCGATTAGCTCGCTGCTGGTGTGTATGGCCCGGGAAAGTTCGAGGCCGCCGTAAGATGCCTGGAGCACGGAGAGGAAAACAGACACGAAACAGCTCGTCGAGTTTCGATTTTTATTTCCTTTTTTTTAACACGTAAAATCATTTTTTTGTTTTTATTGGGCTGACCGGTGGTGAACGGCCGAAGAGGGACAGGTTGTGTTGCACGGTGGTGATCTAGTGTGCACCAAGTGTGTATGACAGTAGAGTGTGATGTAGTTGTGTTGTTGTGAGAGAAGAAGTAATAAACGCTAATGCGCTACAGATATATAGTTGTGTGTGTTGTCAGGGCAAGAGGGACATTGCTGAGAGGTTCAAAATTGGATAAGTGACCAGGTCGTTCTTACCACAAAAGGTTGTACAAGGATGTGAGGCTCAGGTTGGTGGCCTCCTCCACCACCTGCTGTGTGATGTACTGGTCACTGCTTTCAGCATCATCATAGAATCAACACTCCTGCTTCTTCCACTGGCTGAGTGACACTGGGAAGGCGCCCTTGTTGGTGTCCCATGTTGTCATGCATCACTGTCCACAAGAAATCCACCATGGCCTGTGCCAGCTTCTTGTTGTTGTTGTTGTTGTTGTCTTGGTGCAGGTAGGCCAACACTCCCACTTCTTCCACTGGCCGAGCGACACTGGGAAGGCGCCCTCATCAGCATCCCATGTTGTCACACATCACCATCCACAAGAAATCCACCACAGCCTGCGCCAGAGGGCACCGGCGCTGACAGTGGTTGACGATGAGGTGGCAAGGTAGCCCAGCAGTTGGTGGAGTACGACATAGGGCAGGCCGCTCAGCAGGTTCCACACTCCTTCCCTCACCTCTCTTCATCTTCTTCTCCCAATCTCAGTCTCTTACTGTTTTTTATCGCGGCTGGCTTCGCTTCTTGGCAGCTTCCTCTCTCACCCTCTTCACCAGCAGTTTTTGTGTGGCCTCTCTGGTTGGTGCATTTATAAAATTGGATAAAGTTTACCAGGAAAAACATTTTTGCTCTTTGGGGCTTGCCTAGTGTGGTGGTGTTCACGCAGCTTGCCGAACATCAAGAGCAGTTCACCATCGGCGAGTGGTCTTCTGGTTGTGCGAGGTGGAGCTCGAAGGTGCCCGTGGCACCGTTGACGTCCCACCGGTAGGTGCCCGTGATGGTGTGGTGGTCCACCACCCGGCCCGTGTAGTGGAAGAGGCCGCTGTGCGTCGCGTACCGCTCCCGCCACTCGACCACCCTGCTCGCGCGGTCGTACCGGCCCACCCACACGGCTGAATATCGGAGCAAAACACGACACGCAACCGGCACACAGCACACACGACCGACACACAGCACGTTGCACGGGGTCAGTTTCTTGCACGCAGGGCAGGTCAGGCGGTGACCAGTGCCGTACCTCCGGTCTGGCGATTGTAGGAGGAGCCCGACGAGTACTGCATCTCGGCCCACAGCAGGCCATGCAGCAGGCGCAGCCGGGTGCCCTGTACGCGGGTCACATTGCCGCTCGATGCCGAGTTCTGCGTGTGCCCTGTTGTGTGCGGAAAGTACCTGTCAACAAGTTGATATCACGAAAGGGTGTAAAAGAAGGGGAAATGGGCACCGTCCACGATGTAGAGCCCCTCGTTGATGACGAGAGATGACAGGTAGTCAGAGTCCTTGCGCGTCGCCAGCTCGTATCTCCGCTTCCAATCCACCTCTTCGTTCTCGCTGTCGTCGTTAACAAGCGCCGGAAGACCAGGAGGCGTTGTTGTAGGCCACGGCTGTCGATTCCAGATCGACCGCACGTCGGCCACCGGAGTGGAGAAGCCCTCCCGAAGGTCCTCGATCGCCGCCTGTTGTGCTCGGGGGTCGTCGCTGCCGGCAGCTGCGACCTGCGGCACCAGTAGCGTGTGCGGGCCGAAGCGGCGCTGGTAGAGCTGCTTCCAGAGCCACGGGTCGGAGCAGATGCGATGGAACACGTGCGAGCAGCGGCCCAGCGACTGCACCCCAAACATCGGCAGGAAGCTGCACACGCTGAAGATCGCCTCGAGCGGCAGGTAGGCGCTAAAGTCCACCCCACCACCATCGTCACCATGACCACCTTGTCCGGCTGTCGAGCCCTGACTACGCTCGTAGGCCCGCAGGCGCTTCAGGAGCCCGAGCAGGTGGTCCCAGGTGGCCGGCACCGCTGGCTGGCCGGCGGCAACGAGCTCGACCGACACGATCACGATCTCGAAGCGTCCTGCGGCCGCTGCGGATGTGGTGGTGACGGTACCGGCCAGGCTGCAGGGCGGAAGCAGGCGGCCGGCCAGCAGTCGATCGACGGTGGTGGTCTGGGCCTGTGCCTGGGCCTTGGGGAGGCTACCGCTGGCCTGGAGGGTGACGTGGCCGTCGGACGAGCACACGCCGCGCCAGCCGCCCTCGTCGGTGCGGACCACGGTGCGCTCATTGCCAAGGGCGTACCAGGGCAGGCTGCTGCCTGAGGAGGGCTCGTCGGTGCGCAGGCGGCCGTCGGCGGTCAGGTAGAGGGCGAAGGCCTTGGTACAGTAGCGCAGGTCCTCGCCTTCACCCTCCGGGTATATCTCAGTCGCGATGCACACCAACCGGGCCAGCACCTCCCCCTCCTCCACTACCTGACTGCTGGAACTTGGCTTGTCGTTTCTCTACGGTGCCTCCATCTTCTTGGTGTGCCAAAGAGTTTGATCTCTCTGTTTTTATGTTCTATTTCTTTTTTGTTCGCTGAAACGTTTCAGCGAACCGTAAACGGTTACCCAGCAACCAAAAAACAACCGGGAAGCTTTTGGGCGATCCATCATTCCCTCTTGGGCAGAGAGTAGACGGTCCGCGCGTTCTCGGTGGTGGCCCGGATGACCTCGGCCAGTGAGGTCCCCTTGAGTTCGGCCACCTGTGTGTGTTTGGGACACAATGCGTCCACGTGAGTGCAGTGTTTTTTGTTGTGTTGAGCACGTGCGTGCTTGCGTGCCTTCTTAGCGACGAGGGGGGTCATTGCCGGCTGGGCCACTTTTCCTCGGTGCGGCTCGGGCGCCATGCTGTCACACACGGCGCGCAATGTGAGCCCGGTGAGGTAGTGCATTCCTAAAAGCTCGCAACAACGTACAATGGGCAATCGGTTTCGAGAAGCAGCCTATTGAGAGGCACCATCTTGACTACCTCGGGCGCCCGTCCGGCCTTGGCGAACGTGATCGCGCCTAATGACCATCATCAACATCAAGCAACAATGATGGGTGCAAAGCCAAGGAATGTGCATACCAGTGAAGCCAAAGTAGACGTTGGGATAGAGGGCCAGCAGCTCGCCGGCCATCTCCGGGGACTCGCCGAAGCAGTGCATGTGGATCTTCCACTCGGTAGGCACGTGCTCTTTCAAGAGTCGCAATGTGTCCTGCTCGTTGTGGCAATGTTGATTGTCGGCAAAGTGCGATCGGTTCAAGATGAAGAGCTCTGCAAAGTACCGCTTCAGCGTCACGTGAGTGGATGACGAGCG